CCAGCCTTGACCTCCCAGAGTGCTGGGATTATGGGCATGAGCCATCCTGCCTTGGCTGGCTATCTATCTGTCTGTCTATCTATCTGTCTATCATCTATCTATCTATCTATCTATCTATCTATCTATCTATCAGTCATCTATCTACCTGTCATCTATCTCTGTCTCTCTGGCTCTATCTATCTGGCTGGCTCCATCTGTCTTTCTGGTCTATCTACCTATCATTTTTTTTTAGTAGAGATGTAATCTTGCTATGTTGTCCACACTCTGGATATGTTGCTTTTTGTTTTTTTTGTTTTTGTTTTTGTTTTTTTTTTTAGGAAGGGAAGTCAGGAAGGGAGGAAAGGAGGAAGGGAGGGAGGAAGAAAGGAAGGGAGGAAGGAAGGGAGGGACGGAGGGAGGGAGGGAAGGAGGGAAGGGAAGGAAGTAAATCAAGCAATGAGAGAGACATTGCCAACCTGGATCTAGAGGTTTACAAGTTGATTTCTTTTTTTTTTTTTTTTTTTCTTTTTTTGAGAGAAGGAAAGAAAAAAAAAGAGTAAAGAAGAGGAAGAAAGAGGAAGAGAAAGAGGGAGGGGGAACGGAAATATTGCTTTATTCTGAAAAAAATGGGTATTAATAATGGCCAATCAATGTTTCATTTAAACCTATGAGTAGGTATGATGTGGTATTGACAAGAATGTATATTTTGTGTATTTGAAGTGGAGAGATCTATAAATATTTATTAAGTTTACTTGTTCCGGATCTGAGTTCGAGTCCTTGATATCCTTATTAATTTTCTGTCCCATTGTGTCTAAGTCCTTATGTATCTGGGTGTTAGGATCGTTAGCTCTTGTTGCTGCATTGATCCTTTTACCACTATATCTTTGTTGCTTTGAAATCTATTTTATCAGATGCGAGAATTGCAACTCCTGCTTTTTATTTATTTATTTTTCCTCTCCATTTGGTTGGTAAATCTTTCTCCATCCCTTTGTTTTGAGACTGTGTATCCTTGCATGTGAAACGGGTCTGGAGGTACCATGCCGTTAGGTTTTGGCTGTGTCTTTTGATTGGGGGATTTAGTCGATGTAAATTTAGGGTTACTGCCATTTGATGTTAACTGGCTGTTTTATCCATTCGTTGTTGTAAATTCTTCTTTATGTTGGTGCTCTTTACTTTTTGGCATATTTTTAGAAAGGCTAATACTGGTTGTTTCTTTCTGTGTGTAATGCTTCTTTCAGAAGCTCTTGTAAAGCAGGCCTGGTGGTAATAAAATATCTGAGTACTTGCTTGTTCATAAAAGATTTTATTTTTCCTTCAGTTGTGAAGCTTAGTTTGGCTGGATATGAAATTCTGGGCTGAAGGTTCTGTTCTTTGAGGATGTTGAATATTGGCCCCCACTCTCTTCTGGCTTGCAGAGTTTCTGCTGAGAGATCTGCTGTAAGTCTGATAGACTTGCCTTTGTGGGCAACCTGACCTTTTTCTCTGGCTGCCCTTAGTATTTTCTCCTTCGTTTCAACGCTGGTGAATCTAACGATTATGTGCCTTGGGGTTGCTCTTCTTGAGGAATATCTTTGTGGTGTTCTGTATTACTTGGGGTTGAATATTGACCTGCTTTGCTAGTTTAGGAAAATTTTTCTGAATAATATCCTGAAGGGTATTTTCCAGCTTGGATTCATTCTCCCCGTCGCATTCAGGTACACATATCAAACGTAAATTGGGTCTTTTCACATAGTCCCATATTTCTTGGAGACTTTGCTCATTCCTTTTTACTTTTTCTCTAATCTTGTCTTCTCGTTTCATTTCATTAAGTTGGTCTTCGACCTCTGATATCCCTTCTTCTGCTTTAACTATTCGAGTGTTTAAACCTGTGCATACTTCTTGGAGTTCCTGTATTGTATTCTTCAGTTCCATTAATTCACTCATACTCCTCTCTAAGTTGTCTATTCTCATTAGGATTTCGTCAAACCATTTTTCAAAGTTCTTAGTTTCTTTACGTTGGGCTACAACATGTTCTTTTAACTCACAGAAGTTTCTTATTATCCATACCCTGAAGCCTGATTCTGATATTGGGATGCACTCGTTCTCCATCAAGCCTTGTTCCATTGTTGATGTGGGACTGTGATCATCTTTAGAGGGAGAGGCATTCTGACTTTGAGTATTCTCAGCCTTTTTACACTGGTTTCTTCCCATCATTGTAAATTTATCCTCCTGTCGTCTTTGAAATTACCAACTGTCAGATTAGGTCTCTTGAGTGGACGTCCAAGTTGTTAGTTCCCAGGGCCAAAGCAGCGGCATTAAGACTGATGGTGCTTTTCTGCCCAGGATTCTCCTGTCTCGCTTCCTTCTTGTGTCCGTAATAGGCGACTCTGCCTTCCCGGAGCTCCAAACCTCTGTCAGAAGGGGGGCCAGCCTCGTTTACTCTGCTCTGAGAGCTGCCACGCCGAGGTGCCAGCGAAACCGCTGTGCCGGCCACAAGAGTTGCGCTGGCGACCCATTGTGGCTCCTCCACTGGGAATCTTCTGCTCCGTGAGCGAACAGAATTTGTTTGAAAGTGTGGCGTCCTCTAGTTCTCTGCGCTTTCACTGAGAGCTGCAATCCTGAGATGTTAGCGATCGGCCATCTTGGATCGTCACCCTGCTTTTTGTTTTTTGTTTTTTGATTTTTTTTTGAGACAGAGTCTCACTCTGTCGCGCAGGCTGGAGTTCAATGGTGTGCTCTCGGCTCATGGCAACCTCTGCCTCCCAGGTTCAAGCAATTCTCCTGCCTTAGCCTCCCAGGTAGCTGTGATTACAGGTGCACACCACCACGCTGGCTAATTTTTGTATTTTTAGGTAGAGACAGGGTTTCACCATGTTGGTCAGGCAGGCTGGTCTTGAACCCCTGACCTCATGATGCACCGCCTCAGCCTCCCAAAGTGCTGTGATTACAGGTGTGAGCCACCATGTCCGGCTTATGTATTTCTTTTTTTAAGTTTAATTATTATTTTTTAATAAAGATACCATCTCGTCATGTTGCCCCCAGGATAGTGTTTGGACTCCTGGGTTTCAGGTATCCTATGTGGCCTCCCACAGTGTTGGGATTACAGGTTTGAGCCACTGTACATGGTCTGATCTGTGGGGATCGCTCCTGCAAGGGATCCTTGACAGGACCCTTGCCATCTTGAGCTTGAGCCCATACACATTTCTCCTCTCCTGGAGGCTGTTGAGCTAAGGGAAAAAGAGGAAGTCTGGTTGCACTGATTTTATAAACATCAATCTTTGCCTCTGACATTTGCAACAGGATGGCTGAGCTCAGGCTTTGTGGTCTAATGAGACATTGTGTGGTTAGACATTGTGTGCCTCCTAGTTCCTTCTCTGCACAATAACTGTATGACTTTGTTTACCTCTGCTAACTCAATCATATTGTTTGCATATGATCCTATATGAATAGGCAAGGTTAGAATGACATTTGGAAAGTTCCAGCTGTACCTTGTTAATGATCTTACCTGCTTGCTTGACTGATTTTAAATAAACACGTTTAGATTTATGACCCCTTTTTTTGCAAACTTTATTGTCCCTTTGCTGTACACCCTTTGATTATGAGTCATACTTTCTGTACCCCTTTTTTGTGATTCTTATTCTTGATTTTAAGATACAATGGAATGTATGTCACTCCTCAAGCACTGAAAGGTATATAACCTGTGGTGTGCACAAATAAACTCACTGTTCTGGCATTGCCTGGCAGTCCTCCAGACCCCACTGTCTATCTGTCTTTTCTTCTGCGCACTCCCTCTTCCAGGTTGAGAACACTTGAGTGGGGCTGAGGCTCTCCGCTGGTCAGAAGCCCCCCGGCAGACGTGCCGGACCCCCACACTGGCCATATTTTTGATGTGTTGATTCTTTCCAAATCAGGTGCATAATCTCATATCTGAACATTCCCACTGGTGTGATTGTAACATATGACTTTCACCAGAGTGATTTGGTGCTCCTGCACTGGCCCAGCCCACAGAAGGGATTGTGACATATCCTTGGACTCAGCACTAAGGTGATGTGACTATTTTACTGCCTTGCCACAGCCCAAAAGGGACATTGTGACATCACTAGGTCTTATACCCAAGTGATATGAATCTTCTCTCCAGCCTTGGCTCTTCCACAGGGACATTGTGTCATATTGCTGGGCCCCACACATAGGTTATGTGACTCTCCTGCCTGTGCCCTGCCCTTGTGAGCCATTGTGACCTTTTCTGGGTCTAACACCCAGGTGATGTAACTGTGCTGCCTATGTCCTGCCTACAGAAGACATTGTGACGTATTTCTGCATCCATCACACAGGTAATGTGGCTCTCTTCTCCTGCCTGGCCCCTGCTCACAGAAGGGATTGTGATGTATCACAGGGCTCAGCTGGGTTTTCTTTGGTGATACTCATGTTTTCCTGATTCTTTTTTGTGTGTTTGTTTTTGGGAGGGAGTGTTGCTCTGTCGCCCAGGCTGGAGTGCCATGGCACAGTCTAGGCTCCCTGCAACCTCCGCCCCCCAGGTTCAAGTGATTCTCCTGCCTTAGCTGTGTTCTTGGTTTTCTAATTCTTTTAGTTGTGATGTTTGGTTAACTTGATGTCTTTCTAACGTTTTGATGTGAGGCTTCAGTGCCAGAATGTAGTGAGGTCAGATGTATTAAGGCCAGGTGTGGTGGCTCACGCCTGTAATCCCTACACTTTGAGAGGCCAACATGGGAAAATCACTTGAGCCCAGAAGTTTCAGACCAGACTAGGAAACATGTGGAGAATCTTTCTTTACTGAAAATATGAAAATTAACTGGGTGTTCTGGCTGTGATTTCAGCTACGTGGGAGGCTGCAGTGGGAGAGTCATCTAAGCCTGGGGAGTTTGAGGCTGCATTCCATGTGGGGCGACAGAGTAAGACCCTGTCACAAACAAACAAGCAAGCAACAGATATTTTATGCCCCTCTCAGGGTAGGAAGCTAAATTAGCAAAATACAGCATTTTAAAATTTAAATTTTATTTTTAATTTAATTTTAATCATTTTTTTGAGACAGAGTCTTGCTCTAGTGTTTAGGCTGGAGTGCAATGGTGTGATCTCGGCTCACCACAACCTCCACCTCCCTGGTTCAAGTGATTCTCCTGACTCAGCCTCCTGAGTAGGTGGGAGTACAGGCATGCACTGCTACGCCTGGCTAATTTTTGTATTTTTAGTAGAGACAAAGTTTCTCCATGTCGGTTAGGCTGGTCTCAAACTCCCTACCTCGGTGATCTGCCCACTCTGGCCTTCCAAAGTGCTGGGATTATGGGTGTGAGCCACCATGCTTGGCCTTAAATTTTATTTTTAAATTTTAATCTATTTATTTATGTATTTTGAAATCAGGTTATGAAACTGGCTCATTTTTGTATTTTTGATTGAGATGAGGTTTTACCATCTTGCCCAGGCTGGTTTTGAACTCCTGGGCTCAAGCAATTCACCGTCTTGGCTTTCTAAAATACCGGAATTACAAGTGTGATTCACTATGCCTGGCTGCAATTTTTTTTTTAATCGTTTGTCTTTCCAAGAGTTTCATGGGAGAGAGTTTGGTTTGTTTATATTCATTCTAAATAGACATTTAGGTTGTCAGCTTCTGTCCTCATGAACTCTGAGGCTACAAGTCCCCTGGTTTATCATAGGACCATGCAGGTGAAAAATAAAACAATAGAGCTGGGCACAATGGCACACAAGAATCACTTGAACCCAGGAGGTGGAGGTTGCTGTGAGCCAGGATCATGCCACTGCATTCCCCCCTGGGCAACAAAGCAAGACTCAGTCTCAGGCTGGGCATGTTGGCTCACTCCTGTAATTTCAGCACTTTGGGAGGCCGAGCGGACAGATCACAAGGTCAGGAGTTCAAGACCAGCCTGGCCAACATAGTGAAACCACGCCTCTTCTAAAAGTAATACAAAAGTTAGCTGGGCATGGTGGCACATGCCTGTAATCCTAGCTACTCGGTAGGCTAAGGCAGGAAAATCGCTTGGACTTGGCAGGTGGAGGTTGCAGTGAGCTGAGATCACGCCATTGCACTCCATCCTGGGTGACAAAATCAGACTCCATTAAAAAAAAAAACAAAAAACTCTCAATCTCCAAAAGTAAAGAAAGAAATAGGAAAACATAACGTTTATAAGAAGTCATTTTGTTATACAGAAAGTTATATATCCTAAACCAAGGTCTTAGAGATAAAAGGAAACCTGTGCACAGACTGGGGCAACTGTGTCTTCTCTACCGTCTCCACCTCAAAGTTGCTTCCTCCCTTGTTGCCTAGAAAATCACCCGGATTGGGTATGATTGTTCTTTGATCAGTATGTGCATATTTATATTTTTTCCATTCTTTCCAGATTGACCATTGGGTAGGTGGTCGTTGGGCGTCACCTAGCGGCCGGCTTGCAGTACAGGCCTCCTCCAGAGGCCTCCTGGGCTAACAGTGCAGCCTGTGGCCTGCGGGGGCGACAGTCTTAATTTCTTTCTTTCTTCTTCTTTTTTTTTTTTTTTTTTTTTTTGAGACGGAGTTTCGCTCTTGTTACCCGGGCTGGAGTGCAATGGCACGACCTCGGCTCACCGCAACCTCCGTCTCCTGGGTTCAAGCAAGTCTCCTGCCTCAGCCTCCCAAGTAGCTGGGACTACAGGCATGCGCTACCATGCCCAGCTAATTTTTATATTTTTGGTAGAGACGGGGTTTCTACCATGTTGACCAGAATGGTCTCGATCTCTTGACTTCGTGATCCACTCGCCTCGGCCTCCCAAAGTGCTGGGATTATAGGCGTGAGCCACCACACCCTTCTTTCTAGAGTTCTCTTGTCCTCCGGAGCTCCAGCGGCAGCTGCCGAGGGAGGGACAGTTCCTGCTGTGAGCTGGACAGAGCTCGGGAGTCCTGCAGCCTTCAGCAGAACTGTCACAATGGTGCTGGAGCTCTGGTGCGTTTCTCGTGAGTCAGAGCTCAGACGTGCAGGGCTGTGGAGGGGAGGCTGTCACCGCGCTCCTGGCACGAGCAGAGTTGGGGGCTGCCCGGCTGGTCCCCAGCTCACAGCAGCTGCAGAGACCCCACCCGCGGGATTCACCAGGCATGGTGCAGGGGGCCGGGCACAGCCTCCAGGCCCAGCTGTGGGCCCCCGTGGGTCCTGACCGTCTGAGGCTCTGGCCGATGTTTTTCCCAAATCCCCATGAAGAGTCGGGACAATCCTGTGCCATCTCTGGAGGGCCGGGAAAGCTATCTGTGGGCTTTCCGAGCGCAAAGGGGCCATGGGCTGCTCCGAGGCTGCCACAGGTTCGGGGGGCGCCCCTGCTTTGTGTCCACTCCCTCTGGTTTCCTCTTCCCATCCTTTGGGTGGCTCATCCCCCGGGCTGGGACTGGGCTAGGGGAGTGTCCTGGGGATGGCTGAGATGCGGTTGTCGGAGGGTGAGGCCTGGCCGTCCGGGTCCTGGGCCTCGCCCACTGAGCGGTGGGAAGGAGGGGCGGGTCACCCCCCTTGAGCCCTTCTCCGTCTTTCTGCCACCCGGGTGGACCAGCAGACAGCGTGGGGGAGCGGTGGGACAGAAGGTTGGCGGAGTTAAACTCCCGGCAGACGGCTTCAGGCCCCGTGCGCCACACTCGGTCACACCTGGCCTGTGGGTGGCCCGGTGGGCCTCTGCCCTTACCACTGGCTGGCTTCTCTGTCCAGCTGCTGGGTCGACCAGATATCAGCTCCGGGGCTAGGACTTGGCCACCGGCTTGAAATGTTTAAGGTGGACCAGACGCCTCTCTGCCTCTCGCCGGCGGCAGTACCTCTTAGGTCCAGTAGAGGGCGCCATGACGGCTCACGGCCCTCCGCCTTCCCGGGCTCACCCAGGTCATCCCATTTCGGCCTCCAAAGTAGCGGCGGCACTGGGGATCTTTCTGTTTTGTTTTGTTTTTTCCTAGCCCCACTTTGAGTTTGTTTCCACAGTACATTGAGTAATTGTTTGTTCTTTGTTGTTTTGCTCTCTCTCTTATGTTCTTTCCTGCACACTGAAGTTGTTTCTTGTGTGTGTGTGTATATTTATAATACATATGTGTATATGTATGTGTACACATTTTTTTTCGAATGAGGTCTTCTCACTTCGTGACTTAGGCTGAAGTGCAGGTGTGTGATCACGACTCACTGCAGCTTGGACCTCCTTTTTGTAGAGACGAGGTTCTGCCATGTTTCTCCGGCTGGTCCCAAACTCCTATGCTCAAGCAATCCACAAACCTAGACCTCCCAAAATACTGGGATTACGGGTACGAGCCATCCTGCCTGGCTGTCTATCTATCTGTCTGTCTGTCTAACTGTTTATCTATCTATCATCTATCTCTGTATGTCTGGTTCTAGCTGTCTATCTGGCCAGCTCTGTCTGTCTTTCTGGCCTATCTTTCATCTTTTCAGTAGAGATGTGATCTTGCTATGTTCTCCAGGCTCTGGATATATATTTCTTTTTTAAGTTTAATCATTGTTTCTTTTAGAGATGTTGTCTCTCCATGTTGCCCCAGGATAGTCTTGGAACTCCTAGGTTGCAGGTATCCTCTGTGGCCTCCCAAAGTGCAGGGATTACAGGTGTGAGTCACTGTGCATGCTCTGGTCATGTTTTTGATGTGTTGATTGTTTCCAGTTCAGATGCATAATCTCATGTCTGAACATTCCTGCTGGTGTGATTGTGACATTTGACTTTGCCTAGTACCAGAGTGATTTGGTGCTCCTGCACCGGCCAAGCCCACAGAAGAGAATGTGAAATATCCCTAGACCCAACACTGAGTTGGTGTGACTATTCTCCTGCCTTGGCACTGCCCACAGGGGACATTGTGACATCACTGGCTCTTGTAGCCAGGTGATGTGAATCTTCTGTCCAGCCTTGGCTCTTCTACAGGGGACATTGTGTCATATCGCTATTTGATGTGACTCTCCTCTGTTACCTGGATGTGGCCCAAAAAGAGATTGTGACATAACTTTGGGCCCAACAGAGAAGTAATGTGACTCTTCTCTCCTGCCCATTCCTTGCCCACAGAAGAGAAAATGACTTATTGCTGAATTAGCACACAGGTGATGTGGGGGGTGATTCTTCTGCCTGCTCACAGAAGTCATTGTGACATATATCTGGGCCTGTCACTGAGATTACGTGACTCTCTTCTTCCTGGGACCTGTCCACAGTGGGGAGTGTGACATATTGCTTGGCCCAGAACCTACATGATGTGTCTCTCCTCTTATGTCCAGGCCCTGCCCACTGGGGTGATTTTGACATGTAGCTGGGCCCAGCCCCAAGGTTGTGTGACTCCACCTTCTTCCTGAGCCCCACCCACAGGGGCCATTGTGTCGTATGTCTGAGACCCTCCATTAGGTGATGTGACTCTTTTGTTTGGGCCCTTTTCTCAGGATATTGTGACATCGCTGAGCCCAGCATCTAGGTGATGTGACTCTTCCCTACAGTGTGGTCGCTACCCAAAGAAGGATTGTGACGTATCACTCTGTCAAGAACCTAGATGAGGTGACTCTCCTCTCCAGCTAGGACCTGCCTACATTGTGTATGGAGACATGTCACTGGGTCTAACACAGAGGTAATGCATCTCTCCTGCTTGGATCCTGCCCATAGGGGTATTACGAGCTGTCTTTCTATTAATCACCTAGGTGAGGTGACACACCTCTTCTGCCTGGGACCTGTCAAAAAAGTATTGTTGGTATCGCTGAGCCCAGCACTAGGTGATGTGACTCTCTCCCATGCTTGGGCCCGGCCAATTGGGGTGTTTGCTACGTACAGCTCAGCCCATCCCCCAGGTCACGTGATTCTTTTTTTCCTGAGTCCTACCCACAGAGAGAATTTGGACCTATTTTTGGGCCCATCATTTAGGTGATGTGACACTTCACCGGCCCTCCCCGCGAGGTGTAGTGTGACACATTGCTAAACCCAGTACACAGGTGATGTGACTCTCCTCTGTGGGTTGGGCTTTGCCCAAGCAGGGACTGTGATGTGTTGCTGGGCCCACCACTCAACTGCTGTGATTCTTCTCTTCTGCCTAAGCCCTGCATACATCGTGTATTGTGACATATACTTGGATTTAGCACCCAGGTGATAGAACTTTATGTCATGAGAACTGCCCACATTATTATGACATATCTCTTTTTCTTTAATTTTTGAAATGGAGTTTCTCTCCTGTTTTCCAGGCTGTAGCGCAATCTCGGCTCTCGGCAACCTCTGCCTCCCAGGTTCAAGCAATTCTCCTTCCTCAGTCTTCTGAGTAGCTAGGCATGCGCCACCACGCCTGGCTAATTTTTTGTTTTTTGGTTTTTGTTTTTAGTAGAGAAAAGGTTTCTCCATATTGGTCAGGCTGATCTCAAACTCTCGACCTCAGGTGATCTGCCCTCTTCAGCCTCCCAAAGTGCTGGGATTACAGGCGTGAGCCACCGCGCTTGGACCTGTGATGGGGTCTTTTTATGTTAGCCAGGTTGGTCTTGAATTCCTGGCCGAGGCTGTTCTACATCAATTTCTTCAATTTTTTTTTTATTACAAGTGTGAGCCACCATGCTTAGCTTACTTCTCCATTAGATTTCTCATTTTGTTTCATACAAAATTTTCAGTTATCTATTTGTCTTTTTTTATTATTTTTTGAGACGTCTCTGTCACTCAGGCTGGAGTACAGTGGTGCGATCCTGAGAATAGCCGCTTCACACAGGATGCTTGAGGAGCCTAAGATGAGCAACTTTGGCCAACATAATTCATGCATAGCCATTCCCAGCCCCCGCTGCCCCCGATTCCTAATGGCCTCCCACGATGTGGTCAGCAGTGGGGTACAGCATGGTGAGAGAGGGGCTCAAGGATGGGATGAAGGTTTTTCCTGCATTATCAAAATGATTAAAAAGTTTTCAAAAAGGTGTCCAAACTTTCTTTTTACCCTCAAGTTGATACTAGGATGTATTAAACAAGCAGACCCAGGTAAGGGAAAGAGCAAGTGCATTTCAAGCCTCAGCTCACTTCTTTATTCGCTGTAATTCCCTGGGCCTGTGGCCCTTCCTATGGGAGCCTGTTTCCCTGACTTTAAAAAGCGTTGATGGGGGGAGGGTGGGAGTGGGAGGTGGGCCCGGATCTTTATCCAGTCAGTGGCGCTGGCGCGGGAACCTCCCAATCAGGCCCGCAGTTGGAGCTGAGGGCGTGGCTTCCGGCATTTGGCGGGGCCTTTGTCTCTGCTCCCGCCAGAGCTTGGGATCCGTCTCTGCGGCTCTGAGTCCTCCACCCTGGGAGCCCTCGTGACTTGGTTACATCCTCTGTTCCCCTGTGATCTGCAGGTCCTCGGAGACGCGCAGCTAAGATGCCAGGAGACTCTGAAAGCTGCGAAACAGTGAGTGTGCGGGGCTGGGTATCCCGAGAGGGGAGAGCGGGCTGTGAAACCGGCTGGACCGGCCTCCCCACAGTCCGCTCCCAGGTCGCCTACCTGAGTTCCCGCAGGCGCAGCTCCGCCCCAAGCCCCTCTGGCCGCAAGATGGCGGCTGGACCCGCAGCCAGGACCCCCGCGTCCTGCCTGTACCTGCGGGGCGTCCTGTCTGGAGCTCTCTGGGCAGCTCTGCACCCGCAGCCCCGGGTATTTCCGACATTGTTCAAGGATTTCAGGCGGTCATCAGGGCAAAATTCCCACTCGGTGTGTGCGTGGGAGGGGATGCAGCCCGTGGGATCTTCAGCCTTTCCTGATAATTATTTTTGTGAGTGTGAGACGGAGTCTCGCTCGTCTCCAGGCTGGAGTGCAGTGGTGCCCTCTCGGCTCACTGCAACCTCCGTCTCCCGGGCTCAAGCGATTCTCGTGTCTCAGCCTCTTGAGTATCTGGGATCACAGACACTTGCCGCCGCTCCGGGTGAATTTTTTGTATTTTTAATAGAGACGGGGTTTCACTATATTGGCCAGGCTGGTCTTGAACTCCTGGCCTCAGGTGAACCCCCCACCTCGGCCTCCCAAAGTGTTGGGATTACAGGCATGAGCCACCACGCCCGGCCATAAAGAAATTATTCTATCGTCCTTCTAATATTTATTAAACTTTATTTTAATGATCGTAGTGAGTTTTACTGTGAAATTTTGCTGCTATTCATTGAATGCCAATAATTCAGAATGCCTGCTCTCCATGAGTACACACAGATAAAAACTATAGATATCTAAAGAATTATTTTTTAAAATTTATATTTATTTATTTATTTTTGAGACGGAGTTTCGCTCTTGTTACCCAGGCTGGAGTGCAATGGGATCTCGGCTCACCACAACCTCCGCCTCCTGGGTTCAGGCAATTCTCCTGCCTCAGCCCCCTGAGTAGCTGGGATTACAGGCAGACGCCACCATGCCCAGCTAATTTTTTGTATTTTTAGTAGAGATGGGTTTTCACCATGTTGACCAGGATGGTCTCGATCTCTTGACCTCGTGATCCACCCGCCTCGGCTTCCCAAAGTGCTGGGTTTACAGGCTTAAGCCACCACGCCCCGACAATAATTCTTTTTAATAGTATATCCATGTCATATTCAGCGTTTTGCGCATTAAAATCTCCCTTGGCTGGTGCCGTGGCAAATCACTTGAGGTCAGGAGTTCGAGACCAGCCTGGCCAACATGGTGAAACCGTCTCTGTTAAAAATACAAAAATTAGCTGGTCGTGGTGGTGCACGCCTGTAATCTGAGCTGCTGGGGAGGCTGATGCTAGAGAATCACTTGAACCCAGGAGGCAGAGGTTGCAGTGAGCCCAGATTTCACCACTGCACTCCAGCCTGTGGGACAGAGTGAGAATCCATCTCCAAAAAAGAGAGAGAAGGAGGGAGGCAGGCAGGCAGGCAACAATTCCATAAAAAAGTAGATGAATAGGGCCAGGCTCAGTGGCTGACGCTTGTAATTCCAGCTCTTTGTGAGGTCAAGGTGGGTAGATCACTTGAGGTTAGGAGTTCAAGACTAGCCTAGCCAACATGGTAAAACCCCATCTCTATTAAAAATACAGAATATTGGCGTGGGCTCTGTCGCTCGCGCCTGTAATACTAGCACTTTGTGAGGCTGAGGTGGGCCAATCACAAGGTCAGGATTTCAAAACCAGTCTGGCCAACATAGTGAAACCCCATCTGTACTAAAAATACAAATTAGCCGGACGTGGTGGCCCATTCCTATAGTCCCAGCTCCTTGGGAGACTGAGGCAGAAGAATTGCTTGAACCCTGGAGGCAGAGGTTGCAGTGAGCTGAGATCACACTACTGCACTCCAGCCTGGGCGACAGAGTGAGACTCCAACTCAAAAAAAAAAAAACAGCAAACCAACCAACCAAAATATTGACAGGTGTGGTGACTCACGCCTATAATCTCAGCACTTTGGGAGAACTCTCACCTGAGGTCGGGAGTTCAAGACTAGCCTCACCAACATGGAGAAACCCATCTCTACTAAAAATATAGAATTAACCGGGTGTGGGGGCACATGCCTATAATCTCAGCTACTTGGGAGGCTGAGGCAGGAGAATCTCTTGAACCCAGGAGGTGGCGGTTGGGGTGAGAGGAGATCACACCATTGCACTCCAGCCTGGGCAACAAGAGCAGAACTCATAAAAAAAAAATAAAAAAAAAAAAATATATGTATATATATATTAGTTGGGCATGGTGGTAGACACCTGTAATCTCAGCTACTGGGGAGGCTGAGACAAGAGAATTGCTTGACCTGGGATTATGCCACTGCACTCCAGCTGGGTGACAGAGCAAGACTGAGTCTTAAAACAAAAGCAAAAACCAGAGTTGGGAAAGGACATCAGCAGACATGTATTAAAAGAAAACTTTTGGCCGGGTGCGGTGGCTCACGCCTGTAATCCCAGCACTTTGGGAAGCCGAGGCGGGTGGATCACGAGGTCAAGAAATCGAGACCATCCTGGTCAACATGGTGAAACCCCATCTCTACTAAAAATACAAAAAATTAGCTGTGCGTGGTGGCGCGTGCCTGTAACCCCAGCTACGCAGGAGGCTGAGGCAGGAGAATTGCCTGAACCCAGGAGGCGGACGTTGCGGTGAGCCCAAGATCGCGCCATTGCACTCCAGTCTGGGTAACAAGAGCAAAACTCCATTTCAAGAAAAAAAAAAAAAGAAAGGAAACTTTAGTGTGGTCAACAGTCATATGAACAAAAAGCTCAACATCACTGATTATTAAAGAAATGCAAATAAGATATCATCTCATGCCAGTCAGAAAGGTGATTTTTTTTTTTTTTTTGAGACAGAGTCTCACTCTGTCACCAGGCGCCAGGCTGGAGTGCAGTGGCACAATCTCGGCTCACTGCAACCTCCGCCTCCCGGGTTCAAGCAATTCTCCTGCCTCATCCTCTCGAGTAGCTGGGACTACAGGTGTACGCCACCATGCCCTGCTAATTTTTGTATTTTCAGTAGAGATGGCGTTTCACCATGTTGGCCAGGATGGTCTCGATCTCTGGACCTCATGATCCGCCCGCCTCAGCCTCCCAACGTGCTGGGATTACAGGCTTGAGCCTCTGAGCCTGGCCAGAAGGCGATTTTTTAACAAGTTAAAGAAATAACAGATGCTGGTGAGGTTGTGAAAAAAAGAAATGCTTATACTGTTTGTGGGAGTGTAAATTAGTTCATCTATTGTTGAAGACAGTGTGGTTATTATTATTATTTTTCTGAGACAGAGTTTCTCTCTTGTTGCCCAAGCTGAGGTGCAATGGCACGATCTCAGCTCACTGCAACCTCCACCCCTTGGGTTCAAGCAGTTCTCCTGCCTCAGCCTCCCAAGTAGCTGAGATTACAGGTATGTGCCACCATGCCAGCTAATTTTTGAACTTTTAGTAGACACTGGGTTTTGCCATGTTGTCCAGGCTGGTCTCAAATTTCTGACTTCAAGTGATCTGCCCACCTCAGCCTCCCAAAGTGCTGGGATTACAGGTGTGAACCACCATGCCTGGCCCAGTGTGATGAGCAATCCAATTCTGGGTATATGCCCAAAGGAATATAAATTATTCTATTATAAATACACATGAACATGTATGTTCACTGCTGCACCATCCACCATAGGAAACACATGGACTCAATGTAAACTTCCATAAATGATAGACTGGACAAAGAAAAATGTGGTACATATACACTATGAAATATGCACCCATAGCTGGGTGCGGAGGCTCACACCTGTAATCCCAGCACTGTGGGAGATCGAGGCGGGTGGATCACGAGGTCACGAGATCGAGACCATCTTGGCCAACATGGTGAAATCCCCGTCTCTACTAAAAATACAAAAAAAAAATTAGCCGAGTGTGTTGGCCAATGAATGCCTGTAATCCCAGCTGCTTGGGAGGTTGAGGCAGGAGAATTGCTTGAACGTGGGAGGCGGAGGCTGCAGTGAACAGAGAATGCACCATTGCATTCCAGCCTGGGCAACAAGAGCAAAACTCTGTCTCGTAAAATAAAAATAAAAATGCTACGCAGCTATAAGAAAAATGAGACCATGCCCTTTGCAGGGGTGTGGATGGAGCTGGAGAGCTGGAGGCCATTATCCTTAGCAAACTAACACAGAAACAAAACCAAATGCCACATTTTCTCCCTTATGATTGAGAGGTAAATAATGAGAACACACAGACACAGGGAAGGAAGCAACACACACTGGGGTCTTTCAAAAAGTGGAAGGTGAGAAGAGAAAGAGGATCAGAAAAAATAACGAACGGGTACTAGGCTCAGTACCTGGGTTAGTAAATAATCTATACAGGAAATCTCCGTGACACAGTTTACCTATGTCACAAACCTGCACTTGGATTCTTGAACTTAAAAGTTTTTTAAAAGAACTATATTTTGAGACAGTCTTGCTCTGTAGCCCAGGCTGGAGTGGAGTGAGTGGTGTCATCTCCGCTCACTACAACCTCCATCTCCTGGGTTCAAGCGATTCTTCTGCCTCAGACTCCCGAGTAGATGGGATTCCAGGGATGCATCACTAGGCCCTGCTATGTTTGTACCTTTTAAAGAGGAATCAACCAGTATTTTCAAAGATGGTTTTGTTTATAAAACATAATCTTCCACTTGTCCAGTAGACCAGTAGATACTCTTCATATATTGATGGATTGACTGGAGACAGACACTGTCTCCCAGGCTGGAGTGCAGTGGTGCGATAAGCTCACTGCAACCTTTGTCTCCCGTGTTCAAGCAATTCTCCTGCCTCAGCTTCCAGAGTAACTGGGATTACAGGTGTATGCCACCACATCTGGCTAATATTTTATAGTTAGTAGAGATGAGGTTTCACCATGATGGCCAGGCTGGTCTTAAACTTTTGACCTCAGATGATCCACCCACCTCAGCCTCCCAAAGTGTTGGGATTACAGGCTTGAGCCACCACACCCAGCCGGAAGCTCTTTAACTTAATTAAATCGCATTTGTCAATTTTTGCTTTTGTTGCAATTGCTTTGGCATCTTCGTCATGAAGTCTTTGCCTTTGCCTATGTCCTGAATGATATTGCCTAGGTTGTCTTTCAGGGTTTTTACAAGTTTTGGGTTTTACATTTAAGTCTTTAATCCATCTTGAGTAAATGTTTGTATAGGGTATAAGGAAGGGGTCCAGGTTCAATTTTTTGCTTATGACTAGCCAGTTCTCCCAGCAAAATTTACTGAAAATTCTTTCCCCATTGCTTCTTTTTGCCAGCTTTGTCAAAGGTCAGATGGTTGTAGGTGTGCAGGTTGATTTCTAGCCCTCTGTTCTGTTCCACTGATCTATTTTTCTGTTCTTGTACCAGTACCATGCTGTTTTGGTTATCATAGCCTTGTAGTATAGCTGGGAATTGAGTAGCATGATGCCTCTAGCTTTGTTATTTTTGATTAGGATTACCTTGGCTATTCAGGCTCTTTTGGTTTTATATAAATTTTAAAATAATTCTTTTAAATTCTATGAGAATGTCAGTGGTTGTTTTTGGGAATAGCATTGAATATATAAATTGCTTTGGGCAATATGGCCATTTTAATGATATTGATTCTTTCTATTCACGAGCATGGAATACGTTTGTTTGTGTCATTTCTGATTTCTTTGAGCAGCGATTTGTAGTTCCTGAGATCTTCTGCCTCCCTGGTAGTTATCTGTATTCCTGGGTATTTTATTCTTTTTGTGACACTTGTGAATGTGAGTTCGTTCATGAGTTGGCTCTCGTCTTGACTGTTGTTTGAGTATAGGAATGCTAGTAATTTCTCACATTCAATTTGCATTCTGAGATTTTGCCGAAGTTGTTTGTCAGCCTAAGGAGCTTTTGGGCTGAGACTATGGGGTTTTCTAGATATAGGATCATGTAACCTGCAAACAGGGATAGTTTGATTTCCTCGCTTTCTATTTGGGTGCCCTTTCTTTCTTTCTGTTGCCTGATTACCCAGACCAGAACTTCCAGTTGAATAGGAGAGATTAGAGACGACATTTTTGTCGCATTCCTATTTTCAAGGAGACTGCTTCCAGCTTTTTCCCATTCAGTATAATGCTGGGTTTGTCATAAATGGCTCCTATTGAGGTTTTTTTTTTTTCTGTTTCTGTAATGAATTGTAGTTATTAATTTGGGTATTTTGACCCAGACTTGCATCCCTGAGATGAAGCCCACCTGAGCATCGTGGATAAGTTTTTTGATTTGCTGCTGAATTTGCTTTGCTAGTATTTTGTTGGAAGATTTTTGCATCAATGTTCATCAAGGATATTGACATGAAGCTTTCTTTTTTGTTGTGACTTTTTCAGGTTTTTATGTCAAGATGGTTCTGGCCTGATAGTATGAGTTTAGGGAGTCCCTTCTCTTCAATTTTTTGGAATAGTTTCAGTAGGAACAATACCAGCTCTTCTTTGGGAGAATTCAGCTGCGAATACTTTTTACTATTTATAAAAAGTAATAAATAGCCTTTTATTGATTGGCAGGCTATTTATTACTGCCCCGATTTCAGAACTTATTATTGTTCTGTTCAGGGATTCAGTTTCTTCCTGGTTCAGTCTTTTTTTTCCCCCCGAGACGGAGTTTCGCTCTTGTTACCCAGGCTGGAGTGCAGTGGCGCGATCTCAGCTCACCGCAACCTCTGTCTCCTGGGTTCAGGCAATTCTCCTGCCTCAGCCTCCTGAGTAGCTGGGATTACAGGCACGTGCCACCATGCCCAGCTAATTTTTTGTATTTTTAGTAGAGACGGGTTTTCACCATGTTGACCAGGATGGTCTCGATTTCTTGACCTCGTGATCCACCCGCCTTGGCCTCCCAAAGTGCTGGGATTACAGGCGTGAGCCACTGCGCCCGGCCCTCTGGTTCAGTCTTACTTAACAGGGTGTAAGCTTCCGGGAATTTATTGCTTTCTTCTAGATTTTCTAGTTGATGTGCATTGAGTTCATAATATTCTCTGATAGTTGTCTGTATTTCTCTGGGATCAGTGATACCCCCTTATTGTTTCTGATTCTGTTTATTTGAATCTTCTCCCTTTTCTTTTTTATTAGTCCAGCTAGTGGTCTTTTTAGTTATTTTATTTTATTTCATTTTTCAGAAAACCAGGTCCTGGATTTGTTGCTCTTTTGAATGTGTTTTCACGTCACTTGTTTAGTGCAGCCCTGATTTTGGTTATTTCTTGTCTTCTGCTGGCTTTGGTTTTTTTTGCTCTTGGTTCTCTAAGCCTTTTAGCTGTGATGTTAGGCTGTTATCTTGAGCTCTTCCTAACTTTTTGATGTGAGGCCTTAGTGCCAGAATGCAGTGAGATCAGATGTACTAAGGAAGTCCAGGAGTGATGGCTCATGCCTGTATCCTTACACTTTGGAAAGCCAACACAGGAGAATCACTTGAGCCCAGGAGTTTGAGCCAGACTGGGAAACATGTGGAAAACCCATCTGTACTGAAAATACAAAAATGAGCCGGGTGTGCTGGCACACACCTGTGATTTCAGCTACTTGAGAGGCTGAGGTGGGAGAATCATCTAACCCTGGGGAGGTTGAGGCTGCATGAAGCCATGGTGGTGCCACTGCCCTCCATCCTGGGTGACAGAGTGGCACTGTGTCACAAACAAGCAGCAGATATTTTATGCCCTTCTCAGAGTAGGAAGCAAGATTAACAGAATGCAGCATTTTAAAATTGAAATTTTATTTTTAAGTTTTTTTTTTTAATGTAAACGGTTTTATTTAGAAACAACCTGTTTGCATTGTAGAATATAAAACTTGGTTTACACTCTATAAAAAATAACCAATATCCAAATTCAAGAGAGCTAGCATTCACAGAACACACGATATGGGTGTGTAGCTACTGTTCACCAGCCTCAGGCTTGATTTAAACCAAAAAAATAATCCAAGGGGATCATTCAAGATTAGCATACAGTGCTTGCTGCCGAGTCCTCAGCATGCAGAAGTTGCTATCTTAGCAGATTAAGGTTTGCTTTTCAAGTGCATGCCTTTAACATAAGGCCTGGGCTCTCTGCACCTAGTGAGGTGTGAAGCTCTCTTGCCACACAGTTCACAAAACTAAGCCAGAATTGGTGGCATTATTAAATTATCACTGGTCTTTTTTTTTTTTTTTTTTTTTTGAGACGGAGTTTTCTTGTTACCCAGGCTGGAGTGCAATGGCGCAATCTCGGCTCACCGCAACCTCCGACTCCTGGGTTCAGGCAATTCTCCTGCCTCAGCCTCCTGAGTAGCTGAAATTACAGGTACGCGCCACTATGCCCAGCTAATTTTTTGTATTTTTAATAGAGACGGGGTTTCACCATGTTGACCAGGATGGTCTCGATCTCTTGACCTCGTGATCCACCCGCCTCGGCCTCCCAAAGTGCTGGGATTACAGGCTTGAGTCACCGCACCTGGCCTATTGCAACCTAATTTCTATATATTTGTGAATGTTTCAGTTTTTTCTATTATTGCTATATACTCTCATTCAATTTTGGTCATAGAAAGTAATCCATAATATTTCAGTTTTAAAAAATTTGTTAAGACTTCTTTTTTGGCCTAACAGGTGATCTAGCAAGAAAAATTTGAATGAGCATTTGAGAAGGGTGTGTGTCCTGATGATGTTTAGGGGTATTCTCTGTAACTCTGTTAGGAATAACAGTTTTATACTACCTTCAATTCCTCTCTTCCCTTATTAATGTTCTTTCTTGTCTTACTATTATTACAGGAAGTGGGTACTGAAATATCCTACTATAATGATATTGCTTTCTATGTGTTTCTTGAATTCTGTCAGTATTTGCTTTACATATTGGAAACCCTATGGCTGGGCATTGTGGCTCATGCCTGTAATCCCAGCACTTTGGGAGGCCAAGACAGGTGGATTGCCTTGGCAACACAGTGAAACCCTGTCTCTACTAAAATTTAAAAAAAAATTAGGCGGGCATGGTGGCATGCTACTCCCAGCTACTTGGGCAGCTGAGACAGGAGAATTGCTTGAACCTGGGAGGTAGAGGTTGCAGTGAGCAGAGATCACACCACTGTACTCCAGCCTGGGCAACAGAGTGAGACTCCATCTCCTTTCACGTTTACACATGCAAATTTGTCATAGGTTCCCAGTGAATGAATCTGTAATTGTTTAATGTTGTTCTTAGTCTCTTTGGAGTTTCTACTTAAAGTACATCTTATAAAATATGACAGTTTTTGAAATAAACTTTAAGTATATTTTATAAAATATGACAGTATCTTGTGTGATATTATTTTGACTTCTCTCACTTGGCTAATATTTACATGAAATTTCTATTTCCATTTTGCCACTCTCAGTCTTCTTTTATCGTTAGATCTTCACTGACTCTTGTAGAAAGGCAAGTTGGATCTTGATTTTTTAAATTTTTATTATAAATCCCTTTATTGAAAGTATGTCTCTTGATGGGAAAGTTAAATTTATATATAGTTAGATAATTTGCTGAAAGAAAAACTGTTGTTTTATTATTTCATTTTTATATCTTTGTCCATTTTCTCTTTCTGTTTTGCTTTGTGTGTTTGAAATTTTTGTATTGATATGCTTTCACTTTTTGTGTGTGTGTGTGTGTCTGTACAGATGTGTTTGTTGTGGTACCTTCAGTATTAAAATTTCTCAACAGTAAAAGCGTGTGTGTGTATGTGTATATATATTTTTTTAGATAGAGTTTTGCTCTTTGTTGCCTAGACTAGAGTGCAGTGGCACGATCTCTACTCACTGCAACCTCTACCTTGCAGGTTCAAGTGAGTCTACTGCCTCAGCCTCTTGAGTAGCTGGGATTCCAGTTGCCCACCACCACACCCGGCTAATTTTCGTATTTTTAGTAGAGACAGGGTTTCACCATGTCGGCCAGGCTGGTCTCGGATTTAGACCTAAGCTAATCCTCCCGCCTTGGCCTCTCAAAGTGTTGGGATTACAGACATGAGCCACTGCGCCTGGCCAAAAGAGTATATTTAAATGTGGTAAAACATTAACTTCAATTGCATACAAAAATTCTTCCTCATTACATCTGCCCTCAGATTTGTTATTCATGTTGCTAATTGTATCTTTTTATGTTGTATATTCATTAACAGATTTCTATAATAATTTTTATGCCTTTATCTTTCAACTTGTAGATAATAATTAAAAATGCTTTCTCCACCATTGTGATAATTCTAAGCAATTTTATTTGTGTGTATGTGCACATCATTCCCAGAAAGTTATGTATTTTTACATAATTATGTGTTGTTTTCTTGCATCGTGTTATTTTCAGCAAAGATACTATATATCAGTATCTTTGATATATAGGAGATAGGTAGGGTATACACAGTGCCAGTATGCTTTCTCAGCATTTGGTTATTTTGGAATGGGTTTTACTTTTTATTTGGTAGGACAGTTTTGCTGACTATTATATTCACTTGACAGCTGTTTTTCTTCAGGATTTTGAGACTATCACACAGTTTACTTCTAACCTGTAATGTTCTTGCCGACAGATTCACTGGTTATTATATAAGACTATGCTTGTAAATGACACATCACTTTTGTCTTGCAGCTTCTAAGATTCTCTTGTCTGTGACTTTTACAATTGTGCTATATATGTTTTTGTTATAAATATCTTCTGTGTATATCCTAGTTTGCTGAACTTCATTTTTATATTTTTTTACTTTTATAATTTTTCAGTTATATTTTTATCTCTACAATTTTTGTTTCTGTAACAATGTTAGTATTTTTGTTATCCTCCTTTCTCTGATTTTCAATCGTAGATTATGTTCCTATTTTACTCACTTAGTGTTATTTGATTTATCTTAATTTTTTTTTTTTTTTTTGAGATGGAGTTTTGTTCTTGTTGCCCAGGCTGGAGTGCAGTGGCATGAAATTGGCTCACTACAACCTCTGCCTCCCAGGTTCAAGCGATTCTCCTGCCTCAGCCTCCTGAGTAGCTGGGATTACAGGAATGCACCACCATGCCTGGCTAATTTTGTATTTTTAGTAGAGATGGGGTTTTGCCATGTTGGACGGGCTGGTTTCAAACTCCTGACCTCAGTGATCCACCTGCCTCGGCCTCTCAAAGTGCTGGGATTACAGACATGAGCCACCACGCCCGTACTTATCTTAAATATTAAAAATTAATCTATGAATCTCTATTTTTTAGGTGGAGTTTTTGCTCTTGTTGCCCAGGCTGGAGTGCAATGATGCAATCTCGGCTCACTGCAACCTCCACCTCCTGGGTTCAAGTGATTCTCCTGCCTTAGCCTCCCAAGTAGCTGGGATTACAGACATGCAGCACCACACCCAGCTAATTTTTTGTATTTTTAGTAGAGATGGGATTTCACCATGTTCGTCAGGCTGGTCTCGAACTCCAGACCTTAGGTGATCCACCTGCCTTGGCCTCCCAAAGTGCTGGGATTACAGGTGTGAACCACACACCCGGCTTATCTCTATTTTTTAATGGTTTTGCTTTCTAAAAATTTTAGAAATTTTTTGATGGGGCCATGGTGACCTAATATTTTCCATGTTGCAATCTTCGATTGAGATTTAGACATTTAAAAAAAGCTCTCTCACAATCTTGATAATGCAGCTTTGTTCTGCATAGTCTGAAATCAATTGTCTTGGTTAGAGATTCTGGCAGTCTCTCAAATATGTTGTTAGCATGTGTCTTATCTGAAACTTTGTTTTTATTTTTTAGTTAAAGAAGTGTATTTGGCTGGGCATGATGGGTCACGCCTGTAATCCAAGCACTTTGGAGGCCAAGGCAGGCGGATCACCTGAGGTTGGGAGTTCAAGACCAGCCTGACCAACATGGTGAAACCCCGTCTTACTTTTAAAAAAAAAAAAAAAGAAGAGAAGTGTATTCATGTTTCATCTTAATAGTCAGTGGTCACTTTCTACACCTGTTCCCTATCTGTGGTACTGCAGTCTCTCCGCTGTTTGGTCTCAGCAGACTCAAATTGTCATTGCAATGTCTACCACTATTTCTTTCAGCATTTTATGTCATGGGAAACTAAAACCAGCCTCTGGTAATATCCCTAGAAGCCAGAAATAAAGATGTATGTGCCAATTTATTTCTTGTCTTTTAAAAACAAAACCAGGAGTTGGCAGTTTACTTCTAGAGGTACTATGTTTTACTGGGGAACAGGTGTATGCTAATATAATATTGATGTAAATAGAGGGCATTTGGTAAATATGGTCTATCATAATCTGTGTTGGGTGGGTGTAACAGAACATTTTTTTTTCATTCTGTGTGACTCTCTGCATTGTATTCAGCTGTGGCACTGCACACATTTATTTATACATTATCCGCAAATATATTTTGGTCAGAATGTCTTTGTTACATTTATAGATGTTTATGAAAAAATTAGAGTCTGGTATTTTGCTGTGCCCTGTTGCTCATGTAGTTTATTTAATTTTAGAGGTTACATTTGTAAAGTATATATATCTGAGACTAGTAAGTGAAGTAATTTGTTGTTCTAATTTTTTGTTTAGTTACATGTTCTCATTTTGCTGAAGACCTTTTGCCAGAGCAAGACATAAAAGATTCTTTCCAGAAAGTGACACTGAGGAGATATGATAAATGTGGACATGAGAATTTACAGTTAAGAAAAGGCTGTGAAACTGTAGGTAATGGGCAGCTACACAAAGGAGGTAACACTGCTCCTAACCAATGTTTGACACCAACCCAGAACAAAATGTATCAATGTGATATTTATGTACAACTTCTTTATACATTTTTAAATTCAGGTAGATATAAGATAGGACATACTGGAAAGAAACCTTTCCAATGTAAAAAATGTGGCAAATTATTTTGCAGGCTTTCACAACTGACTCAACATAAGGTAATTCATGTTAGAGAGAATACTTACAGATGTAAAGAATTTGGCAATGCCTGTAATCAGTCCTCAACCATTACTAACCATAAGAGAATTCACACTGGAGAGAGACCCTACAAATGTAAAGAATGTGGCAAAGCATTTAACCACTACTCAACCCTTACTACCCATAAGAGAATTCATACCGGAGAGAAACCCTATAAATGTAATGAATGTGGCAAAACCTTTAGCATATCCTCAACCTTTACTAAACATAAGATAATTCATACTGAAGACAAACCCTACAAATGTAAAGAATGTGGCAAAGCCTTTAACCGGTCCTCACACCTTACTAGCCATAAGAGAATTCATACTGGAGAGAAACCCTACAAATGTGAAAAATGTGGCAAAGCCTTTAACTGGTCTTCAACTCTTAATAAACATAAGAGAATTCATACTGGAGAGAAGCCCTACAAATGTGAAGAGTGTGGCAAAGCTTTTCACCGGTTCTCAAGACTCACTCGACATAAGAAAATTCATACTGGAGAGAAGCCCTACAGCTGTGAAGAATGTGGCAAAGCTTTTACCCGGTCTTCAAGACTTACTAAACATAAGAAAGTTCATAATAGAGAGAAACCTTACAAATGTGAAGAATGTGGCAGAACTGCTAACCAATGCTCACACCTTATTGTTCAGAAAACCATTAATACTTGAAAAAACGTGTATAAATTTTAAAAATTGTGGAAAAGCCATTAATATCTGCTCACTTCCTAACAACAGAGAGTTGATACTTACTAAGAGCACTGTAAAGGCAATCACTGTCAAACATTCTTGTAGAGGCTGGGCATAGTGGCTCACGTTTGTAATCCCAGCACTTTGGGAGGCTGAGGCTGGTGGATCACCTGAGGTCAGGAGTTTGAGACCAGCCTGACCAACATGGTGAAACCCTGTCTCTAAAAAAAGAAAAAACAATCTTGTAGAAAATATAAGCCTTAAGAGTAAAGGGAAACTATGTATTCCGAGGAAAAGCATTACAATATAAGAGGGTTGTAGTGCCTTTACTTGCATCATAGATGTTATTGTACACATTTTGTACTAAAGGAAAACCCTGAACCAGTTGTACAAACTTTGTTCAACATCCAAAAATTTATATTGAAGAAAAATCCAGCAAATGTAAAAATTTGGAAAAACATTTTTTCCCCACAAACTATAGCTTAGAAAACACTGGATATATTTCTAAGATATATTTTTGCATATGCAGTAAGCATGAAAAAAATATTTCATTCAAAATTGAGTCTGTAAATAACAATGTAAGGTACAAATAACTAATAAACCGTTCAGACATTACACTAAAAGTGCTCAGTATAGAAAATAAAACTAAAGTTGTCAGATAAATTATTTGTATGTAACTTCAAAAAGAACAACATATTTTGCAAAGTTATAATTACATTCAAAGTGTACTTTTTTTTCTTTTTTTGAGAAAGAGTCTCACTTTGTTACCCAGGTTGGGGTGCAGGGGCGTGATCTCAGCTTGCTGCCAACTTTCACTTTTGGGTTCAAGCAGTTCTGTCACAGCCTCCCGAGTAGCTGGGACTACACGCATATACCAGCATGCCTGGCAATTTTGTGTGTGTGTATTTTATTTATTTATTCTGAGACAGTATCGCTATGTCGCCAGGCTGGAGTGCAAATGGCAAAATCTTGGCTCACTTGCAACTTCCACCTTCCTGGTTCAAGCAATTCTGCCTCAGCCTCCCGAGTAACTGGGATTACAGGTGAGTGCCACCATGCCCAGCTAATTTTTATATTTTTAGTAGAAACGAGGATTCACCATGTGGTCCAGCTTGGTCTCAACCTCCTCACCTCAAGAGATCTGCCCACCTCATCCTCCCAAATTTTTAGATTATGTGTAAATTTAATTTTAATATATATTATTTACCATGTTAAGACTATTGTGTGTTTAATGAAGCATTATGCTACTAACTTTAACCTATCCCACCTTACTCATGGGTGTAGGTAAATGGTGGTAGCAGTATATTATTTGGTAACATAGTAGAATAGCATCTCAAGTAATCTCTTTTGCCAGTAGTTTTAACCAGCAGATAAGTTAATATTGTTTCCATAGTTTAAATATTTATCTTTTTTGGTTATTTAAATTTATTTTTCTTATATTTTGGGTAAACATAATATGTATTTATATTTATGCAAATCTGGCATATTTTTATACAGGCATATAATATATAATTAGATCAGGGTAAATTATGTAACCATCACTTGTAACATTTATGTTTTATATTACAAACAACTCTATTATATACTTTTAGTTATTTTAAAATGTACAATAAAATTGTTATTGACTACATGATTATTTTTATGGTCATAAAAATTATGTATAAGTAGAAATAAAATCAACTCATTTCTGACTCTTAAACATTTTCAGATATTTGTAACATATATATTTTTTGAACTGGCCTCTGCATGCAAACACACACAGACTTTTAGTTTTGATTTACATAGAGTTAAATATACACATGTATTGTTCCAAAGATAAATTTTAGATGTAAGAAAATTACACGGTTATTAAGTGTCTTGATGTGAATCTATCTGTTTTCTGAAGAAAAGAGCACTATTGGAACAGAAGGAATCATTTTAATAAGGTGGGTAATTTACTAGAAAACAAAAAACTCAAAAATGCTGAAAGCAAATCTGTACTCTCTGTATGGAATGTATTAGTGTAAAATTTTAGGGCTTATGGTACCTGGTACTCAGGCTAGGCCCATAATTTTATTGTGTGTTTTACATATTTTTTGTTGTGTAGTTTATGGAGTATTCATTATGGGAGCTGGTCAGAGATTATAATAATTTTTATAAAATTGAATCATGCACACAAAATAATTTTTAGATATAATTCCAAAATTAGGGTATTAGTTTGCATATTTAGTTAGAACATTGCATTTTATTTTATTCGTTGGAGAACCTTATATAAGCCTACTTTTTTTTGTTACTGTTTCTTTCACTTTTTATTAGTGGCAAGTAAATCTATTGATCCGATTTGCTGAGGTAAGCACTAGGGAGACGTCATAAGTCATGAGGATGTAAATCTATAAATGTAGCACACAAATATGAAAGCACTTCCTGTGTCACAGATGATCCATCATAAGCCATAAATATTCCTGCTGGAGTTAGTTTGTAACTTCAAATCAGAGCTAAAAATATCATTGGTGAAGAAATAACACTGATTTTTCATGTGGAGAAGGCATTTTTGTCTAGGCTGCCAAGCTGACTCTTCCTGAATTTAAAGAGAACTTTGGCTTTTGTTTTCTAATTATCCTGTTTTGTTTGGCTTACTATATGTCTTATCATAGAGGTTATATTATATACATTACAGCTTCCTTCTTTTACTGTGTTATGGCAACAGTTTTCTCCCTGGTGTCTTTATGCCATGGCATTTCACATGGTATTTTATAGGTTTTAATGAGAAAGTTTTTTTTTTTTTTTTTTACTAGGCAAAGAACTTTATTAACCTTGGTTTCAAACTTGATTCCCAGGCTTCTTCGGCTTAATTAGCTGCAAAGAATGAATTGTGTATAAGCAAAAAACTGAAAAGAGCTGCAGTGTCCAAGGGGCTTGGGCTTAAAAATATTAGAGATCTAGATTTTATCAGATCCATAAACAAAAATTTCTTAAAAAGCAGTAATAATATAAAATAGCAGCTCCCAGTAACTTCTTCAAGTTTTATCTTCAGAAGTTGACTCAATTCAGTTTGCCTCATTCTTGGAAGCCTCATCAAAATTCTCCACAAGATCTGGAACTTCATCATCATCCTCCTCTCCAGTAGCAAGCGGTGCTTTTCCATCCACAGATTGTTTGGGCAGAGCTTCAGCCAGTCTCCTTAAACTGGTCAGACTGTCTGCCCCAAGCTGGTTTAAGATGCTGGGTAGCATTTCTGTCCGCTGCTTTGTCTCAGCATGGCCTGTAATGGTGAAAGTGTTCGCTGCCAGAGATGCCTGAACTTTAGGGTTGTTAAAGTGGATCACTGTTCCTTGGTTTGTAAACATATTCACCTCTTCAATACCAGAGATATTGTTCACCCCTAACTTCTTTAAGGAGAACTGAAGTTTTTTATCATCTGCTGTAGCTGTTCTATGAACCACCTTTCTGCGAGCAGTTCCTTTCCCACCAATGCGCACTTGTGCCTGCAGTTTGGCGAGTTTTTCCTGGTTCATGATTCTTTCATCTTGTCGGAGCGGATAAGGGGTCGCGAGGGGGACTAGGGTTGGTGCTCAGGGGGCCTCGGGTGGACCAGCTGAAATTAGGCGCACACACGCGGGGACGCAAGATCGAGAAAGTTATTTTTTAACGAACTGAAAAAAGTTGTTTTAACTAGAGAATTCGCTTATCATTATAACTTTCAGATTGATAAATAAGAAGCATACATTTTTCATGGGTGAGAGAACCCATCACTTAACATTGTTTGTAAAAGAAAAATAAAATTTTTTTGTGATGGAGTCTCACTCTTGTCACCCAGGCTGGCATGCGATGACGTGATCTTGGCTCACTGCGACTTCCACCTCCTGCGTTACCTCAGCCTCCTGTGTAGCTGGATACAGGAACCTGCCACCACGCTCAGTTAATTTCAGTATTTTTAGTAGAGATGAGGTTTCATCATGTTGGCCAGGCTGGTCTTGCTGACCTCAGGTGATATGCCCTCCTCAGCCTCCCAAAGTGCTGAGATTACAGGTGTGAGTCACTGCACCTCTCCAGAAAAATCTATTCGATTCTAACACAAAGTGTGCTAAATAATTTGTTAGAGACTCTTTTTTTTATTTCTTTTTTTTTTTCTTGGCTCACTGTAACCTCCACCTCCCAGGTTTAGCACTTCTGTCCTGGCCTCCCGAGTAGCTGGGATTACAGGTGTGTGCCACCATGTTCAGCTAATTTTTGTATTTTTAGTAGAGACAGGGTTTCACCATGTTGGCCAGGCTATTCTTTAACTCAATACCTCAAGTGATCTGCCCACTTTGTCCTCTGAAAGTGCTGGGATTACAGGCATGAGCCACTGCACCTGGCCAGAAACCATGTTTGAAAAGTGATTTTAAAAAACTTTTTGAGACGGAATCTCGCTTTGTTGCCAGTTTAGAGTGCAGTGGCGCGATCTCACCTCACTACAACCTCCGCCTCCCGGGTTCAGGCAATTCTGCCTCAGCCTCCGGAGTAGCTGGGACTACAGACATCCACCAACATGCCCAGCTGATTTTTGTATTTTATTAGAGATTGGGTTTCACCATGTTTGCCAGGATGATCTCGATTTTTTTTTTTTTTTTTTTTTGAGACGGAGTTTTCGCTCTTGTTACCCAGGCTGGAGTGCAACGGCGCGATCTCGGCTCACTGCAACCTCCGCCTCCTGGGTTCAGGCAATTCTCCTGCCTCAGCCTCCTGAGTAGCTGGGATTACAGGCAGGCACCACCATGCCCAGCTAATTTTTTTATTTTTAGTAGAGACAAGGTTTCACCATGTTGACCAGGACGGTCTCGATCTCTTGACCTTGTGATCCACCGTCCTCGGCCTCCCAAAGTGCTGGGATTATAGGCGTGAGCCACCACACCCAGCCTCTGAAAACAGATTTTTAAGAGTTATAGTAATTGAAGATTTTTTTTTTAGAGGGAGTCTTACTCTGTCGTCCAGACTGGAGTGCAGTGGCACGAGCTTGGCTCACTGCAGTGCTTTCCCGCCTCCTGGGTTCAAGCAATTCTGCCTCAGTCTCCCAAGTAGCTGGGATCACAGGAGTGCACCACCATACCCAGCTAATTTTTTGTATTTTTTAGTAAAGACGGGGTTTTACCGTGCTAGCCAGGCTGATCTTAAACTCCTGATCTTATGATCTGCCCGCCTCGCCCTCCCAAAGTGCTGGGATTACAGGTGTGAGCCAGGGTGCCCAGCTGAAGATGTTTTAATTTTACCGTAGTATACTTAGAGCACAAGTTATATTTCTATGCAGAATTTTCTGTTTTGTAGTTGTGAGTTAGAGTTGCAAAATAATAAAATGACCTCTGTGGATTTTAAAGTCGGAGTAATACTTATTTTCCATATTGATATAACAATTTGGAGAAATATCTCGTTTTACATAATTTTTTGAGTGGGTGAAATTCAGTCTACGGTTTTTGCTCTTAGTCATCTAACTGTAGCCACCTCCTTGGTCATTGGTAAGTGACTGATTAGTAATTCCAATCTATTTCACTCTTGTCACTGAGCAAACAATATTCTATATTCAACGAGGAAGAGTATTTTTGTATTAGATTTTTGGAAACTTTCAGCAACTGTAGACCACTCAATAGATTGTGATGTACATACAGACAGAAATTTTCTGTGTTATTATAGGCTCATCCTGGCTTTTAATATAAAAATTTAAAATATTTCCAAAGTAAAATCCAGAGTTCTATAATGTCATGAGACGGGTATCGTTAGAATGTGTTTACCAAAATATTTGTGTTAAGCTTAGTAATGAGTACTTTAAACCAAAAATCAATGTCTACGTAGTATATAAAAGTTTAAAAAGTGTTTTGTTTTGTTTTTGTTTGTTCGTTTTCTGTTTTTTTTTTAGATGGAGTTTTCGCTCTTGTGCAGGCTGGAGTGCAATGGCACAACCTCGGGTCCGCAACCCCTGCCTCCTGGGTTCAAGTGATTCTTCTGCCTCAGCCTCCTGAGTAGCTGGGATTACAGGCACGTGCCACCACGACTGGTTAATTTTGTATTTTTAGTAGAGACGAGGTTTCTCCATGTTGGTCAGGCTGGTCTCCAGCTCCCGAGCTCAGGTGATCCACCCACCTTGACCTCCCGAAGTGCTGAGATTACAGGCGTGAGCCACTGCTCCCAGCCAAAAAGTGAGTTTTAAGATACTCTTTATTTCTACTAGATTAGAAAATTCGATGCCAAAATGTGGGCTCAGGAATGAAAACAAAAATTGGGTGCAAGGGTGTTGTGGATTGTGGTTAAGATTGAAACTCCGTATCAGGTGGTTCCTGGTTGCATCTCAGTTCTGCCGCTCATGGGCTGCATGACCTGAATACAGTTTCACGACTCGTCTGTGCTTCACTCTCCAGCTGTACGGTGAGGATAATAGTGCCCGAATTCCAGGGGTCTGTAAAGTTGACGCAATTAATGCAAATAAAGATGCCAGAAGAGTGCCCAGCATATAGGGAGTGTACGGGAAGTTTATTAGCTTTTATTTGTTGATTCTGTTACATCATAATCAACAAAAAGCCTGAAAACAAGGTGGCCACATCAGTGGTTTGTAATCCATGTTCGTTCTAACTAGTCATTCTGGGGCTGTAATGGAAATTGAATGCTTTCAACACTATCCTTGCAAATTCCCACATATTCACATAGAGGATAAATATAAATATGATGGAAAGATTTTTCATTGAGTACTGCTCTTTTTTTTTTTTTTTTGAGACAGACCTTCGCTCTTGTTACCCAGGCTGGAGTGCAATGGCGCGATCTCGGCTCACCGCAACCTCCGCCTCCTGGGTTCAAGCATCTCTGCCTCAACCTCCCGAGTAGCTGGGACTCTACCATGCCCAGCTAATTTTTCTATTTTTTCGTAGAGACGGGGTTTCACCATGTTGACCAGGATGGTCTCGATCTCTTAACCCTCATGATTCACCCACCTCAGCCTCCCAAAGTGCTGAGATTATAGGCGTGAGCCACTGTGCCCGGCCACAAGTACTGCTCTTTAACATGCCAGTAACACTAGATAAATGAGCACCTAAATGTTGAGCACTTGCCAGTCTTAAATTAGGCAAATTGTTTCCTTATCTACTTAGTTAATACATTTCTCATGGCCAAGTATGTTCATTTGATAAATTTAAATGTAGTGTAAAAAATATATTTAAATACCTTTTTTCTAATAAAGGAAATCAGTTAGGCACTTAGAATTTTACTCTAAACAGTTGCTTTAAAGTCTGTCTTTAAAAGTATTATATTATTTTGAACATTAAAAATCAAGATGGCCGGGTGCGGTGGCTCACGCCTGTAATCCCGGCACTTTGGGAGGCTAAGGTGGGTCAATCACCTGTGTCAGGAGTTGAAGACCAGCCTGGCCAACATGGTGAAATCCCATCTTCACTAAAAATACAAAGTCAAATGCCTTGCTCATTTAGTGATGTAGGTAAATAATGGTTTAATATTATGAAGAGTCTGAACACTTGCTCTTGTCGCCCAGGCTGGAGTGCAGTGACACCGTCTCGGCACCTCAGCTCACTGCAGCCTTTCTCTCCTGGATTCAAGTGATTCTCCTGCCCCAGCCTCCTGAGTAGCTGGGGTTACACACGTGTGCTACCACACCCAGCTAATTTTTGTATTTTTAGTAGAGATTGCATTTCACCATGTTGGTCAGAGTGGCCTCCAACTCCTGACCTCAAGTGATCCACCCACCTCAGCCTCCCAAAGTGCTAGGATTACAGGTGTGAGTCACCAGACCCCGAAAGAATTTTGTAATACATTTATCCTGAATATATCTGTTTAGCATAATGCCATAAATTTCTATATACATTTCTAAGTAAATTTAGGCTTATTTTCTACAAGTATTATTCTGGACATCCAATTATAAATGCTATGAACACACTGGAAGACAATAAATGTATTTACTGAATTTTACAGTATCTCAGGTATCTTTACCTAGAGTATTAAATATTTCTCAATCAAAATGGTGCACTGGCGCCATCTTAGCTTACTGCAACCTCTGCCTCCCAGGTTCAAGCCATTCTCTTGCCTCAGCCTCCCAAGTAGCTGAGACTACAGGTGTGAGCCACTACACCAAGCTATTTTTTGTAATCTTAGTAGAAATGGGATTTCACCATGTTGGCCAGGATGGACTTGAACACCTGACCTCAAGTGATCTGCCCGCCCCCGCCTCCCAGAGTCCTGGGATTAAGGTGTAAGCCACAGTGCCCTGCCTCTAAGCCTGAACTTTATTTCCTGAATGCAATTTAAAAGGGTCCTAAGGCTATAAGAACTTAGTCATACACAAACATAAAGAAAATACTAGTTTAATCAGGTAAGATGTGGCTTTGGGTAGGGAAAAACCCAAATTATTTCTGGAAAGTTTTCTGATTCTTTTTAATATTTTAATATTCTTTTTGCCATTTTTTTTGCTTCCATCTTTGCTATATAAATGAAAAGCAACACAGATCCTATTGTTGAGCTCTTCAAAGAAGCCTTGGATAGAGAATCTGAAGACTATTCTGTTTTTTTCTTTGAGTGAAGACAGCTTTGACAATTTTCAAATTAAAGAAAATTTCGAAGTAATTGAAAATTTTCTAACATGGTGAAACCTCGTCTCTACTAAAAATACACACACATACACACACACACACACACACATACACACTCTGTAGGGAGGCATGGTGGCATACACATATAGTCCCACTTACTTGGAAGGCTGAGACAGGAGACTCTCTTGAACCTGGGAGGCAGAGGTTGCGGTGAGCTGAGATCGCAACACTCCACTCCAGACTGGGTGATAGAGTGAGACTCTGTTTCAAAAAAAAAAAGAAAGAAAGACAGAAATAGAAATATTCTATTAAGTAGGATACATGGTACTGTCTTTATAATAATCTTTGCTTCCGTTTTTTAAAATTAATAATTCATATAAGATTACTTCTATTATTTTAGTACTAAGTTTAGAAATCTTGTTTAAGTTATTGTCAGCCCAGGCCAATTTCAAACTGTAATATTGGAATTAACAGAGTTTTGTAAGGATTTTTGTTTCTGCAATATATCCTCAATGTATGCACAAGTTTTTATACATAGAAACAATGTCCATTAGTGGGCTTTTGCATAAAATTGGCCTTCGACAGGGTTCAAATCATGTTGTTATTGATGGTTTTATTTTTCACTTTTAAAAATTTAAATTAAAATTTTTATTTTACTTTCAGTTGTACAGAATGTGCAGGTTTGTTATGTAGGTATACTTGTGCCATGGTAGTTTGCTGCACCCAGCAACACATCATCTGGGTTTTAAGCCCCAAATGAGTTAGGTATTTGTCCTAATGCTCTCCCTCCCTTGCTCCCAACCCCCTGAGAGGTCTGGTTTGTGATGTTCCCCTCTGTCTGTCCATGTGTTCTCATTGTTCACTTCCCACTTATGAGTGAGAACATGCAGTGTTTGGTTTTATGTTCCTGTGTTAGTTTGCTGAGAATGGTGGCTTTCAGTTTCATCCATGTCCCTGCAAAGGACATGAACTCATTCTTTTTTATGGCTGCCTAGTACTCCATGCTGTGCCACATTTTCTTTATCCAGTCTATCATTGATGGGCATTTGGGTTGGTTCCAAGTCTTTGCTATTGTAAATAGTGCTGCAATGAACATACATGTGCATGTATATTTATAGTAGAATGATTTATAATCTTTTGGGTGCATACCCAGTAATAAAATTCCTGGGTCAAATGGTGTTTCTGGTACTAGATCCTTGAGTAATCACCACACCGTGTTCCACAATGGTTAAACTAATTTATACTCCCACCAACAGTGTAAAAGCATTCCTATTTCTCCACAGCCTCATCAGCATCTGTCGTTTCCTGACTTTTTAATAATTGTCATTCTAACTGGTGTGACATGGTATCTTGCAGTTTTGATTTGCATTTCTCTAACAACCAGTGATGATGAGTTTCTTTTCATGATTGTTGGCTGTATAAATGTTTTCTTTTCTTTTTTTTTTTTTTTGAGATGGAGTTTTGCTCTTGTTACCCAGGCTGGAGTGCAATGGCGCGATCTCGGCTCACCACAACCTCCGCCTCCTGGGTTTAGGCAATTCTCCTGCCTCAGTCTCCCGAGTAGCTGGGACTACAGGCGCATGCCACCATGACCAGCTAATTTTTTTTTATTTTGAGTAGAGACGGGGTTTCACCATGTTGACCAGGATGGTCTCGATCTCTTGACCTTGTGATCCACCAGCCTCGGCCTCCCAAAGTGCTGGGATTACAGGTGTGAGCCACCACACCCGACCAAATGTCTTCTTTTGAGAAGTGTCTGTTCATATCCTTCGCCCACTTTTTGATGGGGTTGTTTTTGTCTTGTACATTCGTTTAAGTTTCTTGTATATTATGGATATTAGACCTTTGTCAGATGGGTAGGTTTCTCTCTTCTTTTCTTTCCTTTTTTTGATCAAGTTTTGCTCTTGTTGACCAGGCTGGAGTGCAATGGCCCGATCTCAGCTCACTGCAACCTCCGCTTCCTGGGTTCAAGCGATTCTCCTGCCTCAGTCTCCTGAGTAGCTGGGATTACAGGTATGTACTACCACGCCCAGCTAATTTTTGGTATTTTTAGTAGAGATGGGTTTCTCCATGTTGATCAGGCTGGTCTCAAACTCCTGTCTCAGCCTCACAAAGTGCTGGGATTGTAGGCATGGGCCATCGTGCTGGGCTAATGATAGTTCCTTTTGCTGTGCAGAAGCTCTTTAGTTTGATTAGCTCCCATTTGTCAATTTTGGCTTTTGTTGTAATTGCTTTTGCTGTGTTAGTCATGAATTCTTTGCCCATGACGGTGCCCTGAATGGTATTGCCTAGGTTTTCTTCTAGGGTTTTTACGGTTTTGGGTTTTACTACTTTTTTCTTTTTCATACTAGAAGTCTACAGTAACCAAATACATTACTTTTTTTTTTTTTTTTGCAAGTTTCACTTTTGTCACCCAGGAAGGAGTGCAGTGGCAAAATTTCAGCTCACTACAACCTCTGCTTCCTGGGTTCAAGCTATTCTCCTGTCTCAGCCTCACAAGTAGTTGGGATTACAGGCATGTGCCACCACACCGAGCTAATTTTTTTTTTGTTTTGTTGTTGAGACGGAGTTTTGCTCTTGTTACCCAGACTGGAGAGCAATGGCACGATCTCGGTTCACCGCAACCTCCGCCTTCTGGGTACAAGCAATTCTCCTACCTCAGCCTCTCTGATAGCTGGGACTACTGGCGTGCACCACCATGCCCAGCTAATTTTCGTATTTTTAGTAGAGACAGGATTTCACCATGTTGACCAGGTTGGTCTCGATCTCTTGACCTCGTGATCCACCCGCCTCAGCCTACCAAAGTGCTGGGATTATAGGCGTGAGCCACTGTGCCTGGCCTAATTTTGTATTTTTAGTAGAGATGGGGTTTCTCTAGGTTGGTCAGTCTGGTCTCAAACTTGTGACCTCAGTGATCCACCTGCCTCGGCCTCCCAAAATTCTAGGATTACAGGTGGGAGCCACCGTCGAGGCCAGGTTTTACATTTAAGTCTTTAATTCATCTTGAGTTAATTTTTGTCTGGTATAAGGAAGGGGTTCCGTTTTTGTTTTCCACATACTGGCTAGCCAGTTTTCCCAGCACCATTTCTTAAATAGAAAATTATTTCCCCATTGCTTGTTTTTGTCAGGTTTGTTGAAGATCAGTTGGTTGTAGATGTGTGGTATTATTTCTGAGGCTCTGTTCTGTTCCATTGGTCTATATATCTGGTTAGACCAGATATATACCATACTGTTTTGGTTACTGTAGTCTTGTAGTATAGTTTGAAGTCAGGTAACGTGATGCCTCCAGCTTTGTTTTTTTTGCTTAGGATTGTCTTAGCTATCTGGGTTCATTTTTGGTTCCATATGAAATTTAAAGTAGTTTTTTCTAATCTGCAAAGAAAGTCAATGGTAGCTTGATGGGAGTAGCATTGAATCTATAAGGGTACTTTGGGCAGTAAGGCCAATTTCATGATATTGACTCTTCCGATCCATGAGCATGGAATTTTTTCCCACTTGTTTGTGTCCTCTCTTCCTTGAGCAGTGGTTTGTAGTTCTCCTTGAAGAAGTCTTTCACATCCATTGTAAGTTGTATTCCTAGGTATTTTATTCTCTTTGTAGCAATTTTGGATGGGAGTTCACATGTGATTTGGCCCTATGCTTGTCTATTATTGTGTATAGAAATGCTTGTAATTTTTACACATTGATTTTGTATCTTGAGACTTTGCTGAAGTTGCTTATCAGCTTAAGCAGTTTTTGGGCTGAGACGATGGGTTTTTCTAAATATACAATCATGTCATCTGCAAATAGACAATTTGATTTCCTCTCTTTCTATTTAAATATCCTTTATTTCTTTCTCTTGCCTCCTTGCTTTGGCCAGAACTTCCAATACTTTGTTGAATAATAGTGGTGAGAGAGGGCATCCTTGTCTTGTGCCAGTTTTCAAAGGGAATGCTTCCAGCTTTTGCCCATTCAGTATGATATTGGTTATGGGTTTATCATAAATAGCGCTTATTATTTTGAGATATGTCCCATCAATACCTAGTTAATTCAGAGTTTTTATCATGAAGGGATGTTAAATTTTATCGAAGGATTTTTCTGTATCTTTTGAGATAATCATGTGGTTTCGTCATTGGTTCTGTTTACATGATGGATTACATTTATTGATTTGTGTATGTTGAACCAACCTTGCATCCCAGGGATAAAGCCAACTTGGTCGTGGTGGATAAGCTTTTTGATGTGCTCCTGGAATTAGTCTGCCAGTATTTTATTGAGGATTTTTGCATTGATGTTCATCAGGAATATCAGCCTGAAATTTTCTTTTTTTGTTGTGTCTCCACCAAGTTTTGGAATCGGGATGATGCTCACCTCATAAAATGAGTTAGGGAGGAGTCCCTCTTTTTCTATTGTTTGGAATAGTTTCAGAAGGAATGATACCAGTTCCTCTTTGTACCTCTGGTAAAATTCGGATGTGAATATGTCTGGTCCTGGGCTTTTTCTGGTTGGTAGGCGATTACTGCCTCAATTTCAGAACTTGTTATTGATCTATTCAGGGATTTGACTTCTTCCTAGTTTAGTCTAGGGAGGGGGTATGTGTCCAGAAATTTGTCCGTTTCTTCTACGTTTTCTAATTTATTTGTATAGAGGTGTTTGTAGTGTTCTTTGATGGTAGTTTGTATTTCTGTGAGATCAGTGGTGATATCCCCTTATTTTTATTAAGTCTATTTGATTCTTCTCTTTTCTTCTTTATTAGTCTAGCTAGTGTCTATGTATTTTGTTAATCTCTTCAAAAAACAGCTCCTGGATTTATTAATTTGTTGAAGCAATTTTTGTGTCTCTATCTCCTTTATTTCTACTCTGATCTTAGTTATTTCCTGTCTTCTGCTAGCTTTTAAATTTATTTGTCTTACTTCTCTAGTTCTTTTAATTGTGATGTTAGGCTGTTGATTATCAATCTTTTCAGCTTTCTGATATGGGTCTTTGGTGTCGTAAGTTTCCCTCTTAATGCTGTTTCAGCTGTGTCCCAGAGATTCTGGTACATTATCTCTGTTCTCATTGGATTCAAATACCTTCTTTATTTCTGCCTTTATTTCATTATTTACCCAGTAGTCATTCAGGAGCACGTTGTTCAGTTTCCATGTAGTTGTGCAGTTTTGAGTGAGTTTCTTAATCCTGAGTTCTAATTTGATTGCACTGTGGTCTGAAAGATTGTTTGTTATGATTTCAGTTCTTTTGCATTTCCTGAGGAGTGTTTTGCTTCCAATTATGTGGTTGATTTTAGAATAAGTGCTATGTAGCACTGAAAAAAATGTATATTCTGTTGATTTGGGGTGGGGAGTTCTGTAGATGTCTATTAGGTATGCTTAGTCCAGAGCTGAGTTCAAGTCCTGAATATCCTTGTTAGTTTTCTGTCTCATTGATCTGTCTAATATTGACAGATGGAGTGTTAAAGTTTCCTAGTATTATTATGTGGGAGTCTAAGTCTCTTTGTAGGTCTCTAAAAACTTGTTTTAAAAATCTGGGTGCTCCCGTACTGGGTGCATATATATTTAGGATAATTAGTGATTCTTGTTGCACTGTTCCCGTTACCATTGTGTAATGCCCTTCTTTGTCTTTTTTTATCTTTATTGACTTAAAGTCTGTTTTAGTAGAGACTAGGATTGCAAACCCTGCCTTTTGTTCTTGTCTATTTGTTTTGCTTTCCATTTGCATGGTAAATATTCCTGCATCCCTTTATTTTGGGCCTGTGTGTGTCTTTGCACGTAAGATGGGTCTCCTGAATACAGCATACTGATGGGTCTTGACTCTTCATCCAATCTGTCCATCTGTGTCTTTTAATTGGGGCTTTAGCCCATTTACATGTAATTGTAATATTGTTATGTGTGAATTGGATCCTGTCATCATGATGCCAGCTGGTAATGTTGCACATTAGTTGATGCAGTTTCTTCATAGTTTCATAGGACTTTATATTTCGATGTGTTTTTGCAGTGGCTGCTACCAGTTTTTCTTTACCACATTTTGTGCTTCCTTCAGGAGCTCTTGTAAGGGAGGCCTGGTGGTGACAAAACCCCTCAGCCTTTGCTTTTCTGTAAAGGATTTTATTTCTCTTCACTTATAAAGCTTAGTTTGACTGTATATAAAATTCTGAGTTGAAAATTATTTTCTTTAAGAATGTTGAGTATTGGCCCCTACTCTCTTCTTGCTTACACTGTTTCTGCAGAGAGATCCACCGTTAATCTGACGGACTTCCCTTTGTACATAATCAGACCTTTCTCTCTGACTGCAGGTAACATTTTTTTCTTTATTTCAAACTTGGAGAATCTAATGAGTATGTGTCTTGGGGTTGCTCTTCTCGAGGAGTATCTTAGTGGTGGTCTCTATATTTCCTGAATTTGAATGTTGGCCTGTCTTGCTAGGTTTGGGACATTCTCCTAGATAATATCCTCAAAGTGTGTTTTCCAGCTTGGTTTCGTTCTCTGCATCACTTTCAGGTATGCCAGTCAGTCATAGGTTTGCTCTTCTCACATAGTCCCATCTTTCTTAGAGGCTCTGTTCATTCTTTTTTATTCTTTTTTCTCTAATATTGTCTTCACAACTTTTTCTATTAAGTTGATTTCCGTCTCTGATATTGGTTCTTTGGCTTGATCTGATCGGTTTGGCTATTGATAATTGTGTGTGGTTCACAAAGTTCTCCTGCTGTTTTTCAGCTCCATCAGGTCATTTATGTTCCTGTCTAAACTGGTTATTCTAATTAGCAGTTTCTGTCACCTTTTATCGAGGTTCTTAAGCTTCCTTGCATTGGGTTAGATCATGCTCCTTTAGCTCAGAGGAGTTTGTTATTACCCACCTTCTGAAGCCTACTTCTGTCAATTTGTCAATCTCATTCTCCATTCATTTTTTTTTTCAGACAGACTCCTACTCTATTGCCCAGGCTGGAGTGCAGTGGCACGATCTCAGCTCACTGCAGCTTCTGTCATGCAGTGCAAGTGATTCTCCTGCCTCAGCTTCCTGAGTAGCTGGGATTATAGGCAGCTGCCACCTCAACCAGCTAATTTTTATATTTTTAGTAGAGACAGGGTTTCACTATCTTGACCAGACCAGTCTTGAACTCCTGACCTTGTGATCCATTCCCCTTGGTCTCCCAAAGTGTTGGGATTACAGATGTGAGCCACCATGCCTAGTCTTCTCCATCCAGTTTTGTGCCCTTGCTGGAGAGGGGTTGTGACATTTAGAGAAGAGGCATTCTGGTTTTGGGAATTTTCTGCATTTTTTCACTGATTTTTTCCTCATATTTATGGATTTATCTACCTTTGGTCTTTGAGGTTGATGACATCGGATGGGGTATTTATATGGTGGTCCTTTATATTGATGATGTTGCTTTCTTTTTTTTTTTTTTTTTTCCCAAGACAGAGTATTGCTGTTGTTACCCAGACTGGAGTGCAATGGAGCAATCTTGGCTCACTGCAACTTCCACCTCCTGGGTTCAAGCAATTCTCCTGCCTCAGCCTCCCGAGTAGCTGGGACTACAGGTGCACCCCACCATGCCCAGCTAATTTTTTGTATTTTTAGTAGAGATGAGGTTGCACCTTGTTGACCAGGATGGTCTCGATCTCTTGACCTCGTGATCCACCCACCTCGGCCTCCCAAAGTGCTGGGATTATAGGCGTGAGCCACCGCGCCCGGCCCTGCTGTTGCTTTCTGTTAGTTTTTCTTCTAACAGTCTGGCCCCTTTCTGCAGGGCTGCTGCAGTTTGCTGGAGGTCCACTCCAGACCCTGTTCACCTGACATCACCAGTAGAGGCTGCAGAATAGCAGGAATTGCTGCCTACTTCCTCTGGAAGCTTCCACCCAGAGGGGCACTAGCCTGATTCCAGCTGGAGCTCTCCTGTATGAGGTGTCTATCTACCCGTGTTGGGAGGTCTCTCCCAGTCAGGAGGCACAGGGCTGATCATCAGGGACCCAGTTGAGGAGGGAGTCTGTCCCTTAGCAGAGCTGGTGTGCTGTGCTGGGAGAATCCCTCTTGTGATGGGCAGCTATTCTCTTCAGAGCCAGCAGTCAGGAATGATTAAATCCGCAGAAGCTGCACCCACAGCTGCTCCTCCCTTTTCCTCAGGTGCTCTGTCCCACAGAGATGGGGTTTTGTCTCTATGCCCCTGAGTGGAACTGTTACCTTTCCTTCAGGGATGCTCTGCCCAATGAGGAGGAATCTAGAGAAGGAGTCTGGCCACAAGCACTTTGCCATGCTATCCTGAATTCCGCCCACTCCAGACCCCTCAGCCTCCTTAGCATTGTCAGGAGAAAACCGCCTCGTAATGAGAAAGAGAAAATGCCTCAGTAATGGGGCATGCCCCTTCCCTCCCTAAACTCCATCATTCCAGGTCAACCTCAGACTGCTGTACTGGCAGCGAGAATTTCAAGCCAGTGGTTCTTGGCTTGCCAGGCTCAGTGAGATTGAGACACGCTGAATGAGACCACTTGGCTCCCTGGCTCCAGCCCCTTTCCAGAGGAGTGAATGGTTCTGTCTTGCTGGGGCTACAGATGTCACTGGGTTATGGAAAAAAAAAAAAAAACTCCTGTAGCTAGCTTGGTGTCTGCCCAAACAGCCACCCAGTTGTGTGCTTATTACTCAGGACCCTGGTGCTGTAGGCACACGAGGGAATCTCCTGATCTGCAGATTGCAAAAACTGTGGGAAAACCGTAGTAACCCAGCCAGAAACCCAGTTCCTTGTGGTTTCCCTTGGCTGGGGGAGGGAGGTCCCTGGTGAAGTGACACCCCACCCTGCCTCTGCTCACCCTCCATGGGTTGCATTCACTGCCTAACCAGTCCCAATGAGATGAACTGGGTACCTCAGTTGGAAATGCAGAAATCATCCACCTTCGGCCGGGCACAGTGGCTCACACCTGGAATCCCAGAAGTGTGGGAGGCCAAGGTGGGCAGATCACAAGGTCAGGAGATCGAGACCATCCTGGCCAACATTTTTTTTTTTTTAGACAGAGTTTTGCTCTTGTCCCCAGGCTGGAGTGCAGTGGCATGGTATCAGCTCACTGCAAACTCCATGTCCCATATTCAAGTGATTATCCTGCCTCAGCCTCCTGAGTAGCTGAGATTACAGGCATGCACCACCACACCCAGCGAATTTTTGTATTTTTAGAAGAGATGGGGTTTCACCATACTTGCCAGACTGGTCTCAAACTCCTGACCTCAGGTAATCTGCCTGCCTCAGTCTCCGTGCTTTTCTTTTTTGTTCATCTTGACCTAAACTATAATAATAACAATCTAAATTTGTATAGGAAGTGGACCCTATATTTAGAACTTAAGCGTTTCTGGCAAAATTCAGATTAAATTAGCTAATAATGCCCTTCAAATTGCTTTCCCCTGCTCCAATAATGAAGTATAACTTCTAGAAACAGCTGAAATGTGTTGTTCTTCAGGTTATATGCTCTTAATGTTACTTGGAAACACAGTATAAAGCCTTGGAAATATCTAAAGAGAGAAAATGGGATTAGTAGTGTTCCAGCTTTCACCTCACTACTTAATAATTGCACTTTTAGCCAATTCATTTACTTGTCTTTAAACTCTACACATTCTGGCAGGGTAGCACTAATTACTGATCCAAATTACTGTTTTTTTTTTTTTAATGTAGTCTTGCTCTGTCACCGAGGCTGGACTGCAGTGGCATGATGTCAGCTCACTGCAACTTCTGCCTCCTGGGTCCATGGGATCCTCTTGCCCTCAGCCTCTCAAGTAGCTGGGATTAAAAGCATGTGCCACCACATCCAGCTAAATTTATTTTTTCATTTTTTATTATGATATCTTTGAGACAGGGTCTCACTCTGTCACCAGGCTGGAGTGCAGTGGTGCGACCTTGCTTGGCTCACTGCAACTTCTGCCTCTGTGTTCAAGAGATTCTCCTGCCACAGCCTCCCTAGTAGCTGGGATTACAGCCACGTGCCGCCACGCCCAGCTAATTTTTGTATTTTTAATAGAGACGGGGTTTATGTTGGTCAGGCTGGTCTCAAATTCCTGACCTTGTGATTCACCTGCCTCGGCCTCCGAAAGTACTGAGATGACAGACGTGAGCCTCCGTGCCCAGCCTGATTTTTTTATATTTTTAGTAGAGAGAGAATTTCACCATGTTGGCTAGGCTGGTCTTGAACTGCTGAATTCAAGTCATCTGCCTGTCTCAGCCTCCCAAAGTGCTGGAATTACAGGCATGAGCCTCCCTGACCTGCCCTATCTTTAAAAACTGAGCAGGAGGGAAAGGCTTTACCAACAATGATTAGTTCAAAAAACTGCAACTCTGATCTCTGGCTGGAACACATATTTGTAGATTGCAAAAGCACAGAATTATCATAATACTGTTGAATTCAAAAATCTAGAAACCTCAGGGAATCCACAGAAGACAGAGCAGATGGTCTGAATAGTCACCTTTTGCTTTGTTTACTCACTTAATTACAGATGGAGAATATGAGAAAATTGCCTTTCTCTTATTTTTAATGCTAACCCTAAAATGGCAAGACTTGCAGGTTGAAATTAACAGGTTCTTACTGGCCCTTCAACAGAACGTTAAGGGTAGTGAAGGTGCCTCAGTGGTAAATACTCCATAAATTCCCGGGTGAACAAATCTGGAGTCTGTTCTTGCCATTCCGAAATTCACGGCTTTCTTACAATGTGTTGATATATGAGTTGCAAAATATGAGAAATTCCACCTCAGATAATTCTGTTTGTAAACACTTGTTTATAAAAGCTTCTTCACATCGAATAATCTCAAGAGATAGAAACACAGCAGTGTAATTGTTAATCCTTGGAAAAAGAATTGACAATTATTTCTGAAGACATGAAAAGCTTCATATAATAAAAAGGCTCTTAAATGTAAATCAGATGTTATTTTTAATTCGGAGAATAATAAATTGCCAGCAATAAAAAATAAATCATTCTTCACGATTACCATGTGACCAATCGCTGGTCCATATAGGTTTGCACTGATTTTGTTTTTTCCAGTCTCAAGTAATCTAGCACAGAGACAAAGAGTGAGTTTGAAGCATAAATGGGGTGTTCCTGAAAGGAAATAAAGTGCCCTTGGGAAAGAATCAAGAGATCAAGTGAGATCAAGTGCCAGAGAAAGGTCATATATCAGTTAAACTCCGCTATTTTGCCCCTCAGTGTGCATGGTTGAGTGTCTTGCCCAAGTTTTGAGGTTTTATTACAAAGTTGCTCCCCATGAGCTCAGCATGTGTTCTGTTTTCAGGATGTTTCCCCCTACCTGGAGCCAGCTGAGATGACTTACTCCCTGCTCTAACTGGGTAATCAAGTATATACATACATAGACAGATGATAGATAGCTAGATGATGGATAGATAGATAGATGATAGATAGACGATGATAGATATAGATAGATGATAGATAGATAGATGATGATAGATATAGATAGATAGAGATAGATAGATATAGATAGATGATAGAGATAGATAGAGATAGATAGATAGATAGATAGATAGATAGATAGATAGATAGATAATAGATAGAGATAGTTATGGAGTTTCACTCTTGTTGCCCAGGCTGGAATGTAATGGTGTGATCTTGGCTCTCTGCAACCTCTGCCTTCTGGGTTCAAGTGATTCTTCTGCCTTGGCCTCCTGAGTCGTTGGGATTACAGGTATGCACCACCACACCTGACTAATTTTTTATATTTTTAGTAGATACAGGGTTTCTCCATGTTGGTTAGACTGATCTCGAACTCCTGACGTCAGGTGATCCACCCGCCTCAGCCTTGCAAAGTGCTGGAATTACAGGTGTAAGCCCCCGCACCCGGCCCTAGATATTCTATTGGCCTTGGAGATTTTGGTATGTAAAGCTTTTACCGATCAATATATGTAGATCAACTTTCTTAACTTTTATTGTAATATGAGCTTGATTTTTTTGTTGATATTTTATTTTATACTTAAAAAGGTATTGATGAATGGCTTAGACAACTTCTCTTACAACTTCTAGAGATAAGGCTTCCTAAAGATACAAGTTTGTCTTCGGGTATTTAACATTGGGATATTTTGAAAGCTTTCTAATTAAAAGAATTGAATTCAGGCCAGGCACAGTGGCTCACTCCTGTAATCCTAGCATTTTGGGAGGCTGAGGGGGTTGGATAACTTGACGTCAGGAGTTCAAGACCAGCCTGGCCAAAATAGTGAATCCCCATCTCTACTAAAAATATAAAAATTAGCCAGGCATGGTGGTTCACACCTGTAGTCCCAGCTACTCAGGACGCTGAGGAGAATTGCTTGAATCCAGGAAGCAGAGGTTGCAGTGAGCCAAGATCGTGCCACTGCACTCAAGCCTGGGTGACAGAAAAATCAATTCAAGCTCAGCTACCTGAAGCCTCCCCCTCCTGTGTTCCAATGATTCTCCTGCCTCAGCCTCCCAAGTAGCTGGGATTACAGGTGCCGGTTGCCATGCCTGGCTAATTTTTGTATTTTTAGTAGAAATGGGGTTTCACCATGTTGACCAGGCTTGTCTCAAACTCCTGACCTCAGGTGATCTGCCCACCTTGGCTTCCAAAGTGCTGGGATTACAGGCATGAGCCACCATGCCTCGTAGGGTCCAGCCCTACTAGGGTCATGGGGTGCCCCCATCTCTGTGTTTTGGCGCTGGATCCAAGGTGGGGAAGGGTCGTGAGTGAGGTCATCTTAAGGGTAGTGATAGGGTCAAGACAATTATGTGAGCGATAAGGGGTCCACCCCCATTAGGTCACCGAGTCAAAGAGGTGGGCAGTACAAGGCCCCCCTCCAATTAGGTTACCGAGGCAAGGAGGGTGCAGTGTGCAACATCTCTGATCTAGGGGTAGGCAACTTCTAAGACTTTCTATGGAAGGAGTTTCAAGTCAGCAGAGTAGCAAGAGAGCTGACAGGATTTACAGCCACCTAGGTGTGATTATACCAGAGGGGTTTTAAGTCCTTGGATGTTCGTGGGATTGGGGGCCAGAGGCCAGCTTTCCATAAGAACTGGACACGATGCAACTCCCTTACAGGAGTGACTCTTGCTCCAGGCCTGCCATACAGCGGGTATCTTTATAATACTGAATGCTGCCGCCTGGGCCGGACTGCCATGTAGCACATGCCCTTTCAGGCAGGGGCACTACCACCCAGGCCACTGATTTTTTCCTGGTATGGCTGTTTTTCCCTAGTTCATGCTCTGCACCGTGTCTGCTCTTGACACTCCTCTGACTATGAACTAAGATATGATTATATAAAAGGAAAGAAATGAGCAGTATGTTATTCTTCAGGCACTAGTTGTGCTGGGGGGCTACTTAGCTCTCCTTCCTCGGTGCCCAGAAGGGGGGTTACCCACAATGCCCTGCTGGGAGTTTTTATCTTGATAAAGGACTACATGTGCTCTCTAAAATGCATTTCCTTATACATTATTGGATGTGTTCTGCAGCTGTAAGCAAAGATGTAGTGTGCAGCCCTTGATTATTTTACTGCTGTCTGCTGAGCCCGTGGCAGCCCACCTCTGCATGTGGCTCTCTCCCTGCACCATGACACCACATCCCACCTCCAGGCCTGGGGACATGACTAAAGGCAGACCCAGGAGCCGGGCCTAAGCCTCCCCCCCACTACTGCTGCTGCTTGAGCTGCTGGCCTCAGGAGTGCAGGAAGCTTGGGGGACCCCAGGGCACTGAGAACAGCCACTCCGGCATACTCAACGCCTTCTTCTGGAGCATCCATAATCCCCTCCTGTTGTGAGGAGATAATGGCGGAAGGGCTTGACTCTGCTGACCGAGGTTTGTGTTTAGTGAATGTTTCTACAGACACTGTGGAGTGTGTCACAGCTCTTGTATGTTCTTGGACTTGGCATTTCCAACCTGTCCCAGCATTTCAACCCAGCCTCAGTGGCCAGGAGCCCATCCCATGCCCTTCTGTTGGCTGGTGCCCTCTTTTCTGCCAGCTGGCTCTTGTCTCCAGCCCTGAGCTTAATCTTCAAAGCACTGCACTGTGTTCAGGACCTCTTTTGGATCATGTGGACCATTCTGTTCCCCGTGTCCTGCAAACAAAAGGGTGGGGAATGAGGTGCAGTGGCGTCCACGTTATGACCTGGCCCAGGGGCTTCTACAGACATGTCAACTCCAGTGTGGATGAGAAGCTGGAGCACCCGAGAGCCAGGTCAAACTGCTCCACACCTGCCTCCACATGGGGCTAACAATCCTCCAGTGCTCCAAAGACAAGGCCAGCCAGCAGTGTCATTATTTACCAGGACCGGGGAAGGGGAAGGGAGAGGGGGAAGGAGAGAGAGAGAGAGAGAGAGGGAGAGGGAGGAGAGAGGGAGAGAGTGGGGAGAGAGGGAGAGAGGGAGGAAGAGAGAGAGAGAGGAGAGAGAGGAAAAGAGAAAAGAACTCCAGACCCCAAACAATAAACATGGCTGAGCAAGTCAGGGCTAACTGCAAGGGCATTTTCACCTTCCATTAGCTCTTAAAACAGCTCTTTTTATTCTTCTGGGAACTAAACATGAAAAACTCCTAGATGCTAGGTTTAAAACCTATGTAACAAACCTGCACGATCTGCACATGTACCCCACAACTTATTTTAATAAAATTTTTTGGCAAAAAGCATGCCTGGTGTGTGCTAGGAAAAGTAAAAGTAGTGAGTTCAGTTGCCTGAAGTTCATGAATGAGAGGGAGAGTAATAGAAGATAAGTTTTAGAGATTTGAAGCTCTCAGTGAATGTGTGGAGAAGTGAGTCAGAGCTGTACTTCCAGACTGATCTTTGTTGCCCACAGAACGGGGAAATTCCCAGGTATAAAGGAGACGCGGGATGCCAGGCAGAGGTTTTGGCTGGTGCAGCCGGCAGCCAGGGTGGCGGCAGCTGGCCCTACACAGCGCCCCGCATGGGGTGCGCTTGTCCGGGTGCCCTGTTGAACCGGCAACCTGAGACTTAAGACGGCTGAACTTGAGACTGAACGGGACTTGGACAGTGAGCCAGCCCAGGGGATTGCAGGGACATAGCGTTTGGGGTAGCGCAGTGGGACAGACAAAATGGCAATTCCAAACGCTCCCGGTGGAGACGTTCCCTGAGACGCTCCACGGGGGAGGGGCATCCACCATTACCAAGGCAATCCGCCCTACTGAGATACACGCCCACTGCTGATGCAGCCTGCCGTTGCCGAGGCAACCCGATACAACAGAGGGACTCTGCTGCAGGGCGTAGCCCGTGGTAGCAGGGCGGAGACCGCAGCTGAAGAGGAGAACCTGCAGCAACAGGGCGAACCTCACAGCAGCAGGGTGGAGCCTCGGCAGGCAAATAGTGACTAGACTGCCTCCTACCTGGGCAGCATAGTGCAATGGACATTCAAAAATAAAGCCCCAACCACACCAGACAGAGCATCTGAGAAAACAAGGGTTTGTTAATGAGTTCTGTTGCAGCAGACTTAAACATAGCAGCCTAACAGCCCTGAATGAACAACAGAGCTCACAGTTCAGCAATTGAGCTCCTATAAAGTACAGACTATCTCCTCAAGCAGCTCCCTGACCCCTCTATATCCAAAGGACTGACATTTGGCAGGCATCATCCTGGGACCAAGATAGCAGAAAAAGAAACTGGTAGCATCCCTCACTGTTCCGCAGCAGCTATAGGTGCACCCCAGACAAGCAGGGCCTGGAGTGGACCGCAGAGGTCGTACAGCGAAGGGGCTAGACTGGTAGAAGGAAAACCAAGTAACAGAAATACTTCATCATCAACAATCTGGGTGTCCACTCAGAGACCCAATCGAAAAGTCAGCAACTATGCAGACGACAGGTGGATAAATCCACAAAGATGGGAAGAAACCATTGCAAAAAGGAGGAAAACACCCGAAACCAGAACACCTCGCTTCAGAAAAAGGACCAAAACTCCTCACCAGCAAGGGAACAAAGCTGAACGGAGAATGACTGTGATGAAATGACAGAATTAGACTTCAGAACGTGGATAATGAGAAACTTTTGTGAGCTAAAAGAACATGTATTAAATCAATGCAAATAAACCAAGAACCTTGAAAAAAGATATGAAAAAAGATTCGAGGAAATGATAACAAGAATGGATAACTTAGAGAGGAATATGAATGAATTAAAGGAGCTGAAAAACACAATATGAGAACTTCGCGAACCATGCACAAGTTTCAATAGCCGAATTGACCAAGCAGAAGAAAGAATATTTGAAGTCAAAGATCAACTCAATGAAATAAAACGAGAAACCAAGATCAGAGAAAAAAGCACAAAAAGGAATAAACAAAGTCTCCAAGAAATGTGGGACTATGTGAAGAGACCTAACCTACGTTTGATAGGGGTTCCAGAATGTGACGAAGAGACTGAATCCAAGCTGGAAAATACTCTTCAGGACATTATCCAGTAAAATTTACCCCACCTAGCAAGACAGGCCAACACTCAAATGCAGGAAATACAGAGAACACCACAAACATAATCCGCAAGAAGAGCAACCCCAAGACACATAATCGTCAGATTCAACAAGGTTGAAATAAAGGAGAAAATACTAAGGGAAGCCAGAGAGAAAGGTCGGGTCACCCACAAAGGGAAACCCATCAGACTCACAGCGGATCTCTCAGCAGAAACACTACAAGCCAGAAGAGAGTGGGGGCCAATATTCAACATGCTTAAAGAAAAGAACTTCCAACCCAGAATTTCATATCCAGCCAAAATGAGCTTCAGAAGTGAAGGAAAAATAAAATCCTTTGAGAACAAGCAACTACTCAGAGATTTTGTCACCACCAGGCCTGCTTTACAAGAGCTCCTGAAAGAGGCACTACACATACAAAGGAACAACCAGTACCAGCCATTCCAAAATCACACTAAATGCTAAAGAGCATCAACATAATGAAGAATCTACAACAACTAACGGGAAAAACAGCCACTTAGCATCAAAATGGCAGTATAAAACTCACACATAACAATATTAACCCTAAATGTAAACGGACTAAATGCGCCAATCAAAAGACACAGACTGGCAAATTGGATAAAAATCCAAAACCCATCTCACATGCAAGGATACACAAAGGCTCAAAATAAAGGGATGGCGAAAGAGTCACCAAGCAAATGGAGAGCAAAAAAAAGCAGGAGTTGCAATTCTCATCTCTGATAAAATAGTCTTTAAAGCAACAAAGATCAAAAGAGACAAAGAAGGCCATTACATAATGGTAAGAGGATCAATACAACAAGAAGAGCTAACGATCCTAAACATATATGGACCCAATACAGGAGCACCCAGATACATAAGGCAAATTCTTAATGACTTACAAAGAGACTTAGACTCCCACACAATAATAGTGGGAGACTTTAACACTCCACTGTCAATATTAGACAGATCAACCAGACAGAAAATCAACAAGGATATCCAGGGCTTGAACTAAGACCTGGAGCAAGCAAAACTGATAGACATTTACAGAACTCTCCACCCCAAATTCACAGAATATACATTCTTCTCAGTACCACATCACACCTACTCTAAAATTGACCACATAATTGGAAGTAAAGCACTGCTCAGCAAATGCAAAACAACTGAAATCATAACAAACAGCCTCTCAGACCATAGTGCAATCAAGTTAGAACTCAGAATACAGAAACCAACCCAGAACCGCACAGCTTCATGGAAACTGAACAACTGGCTCTTGAATGTTGACTGGATAAACAACAAAATGAAGGCAGAAATAAAGAAGTTCTTCGAAACCAGTGAGAACAAAGACACAACATGCCAGAATCTCTGGGACACATTTAAAGCAGTCTCTAGAGGAAAGTATATAGCAATAAGTGCCCATATGAGGAGAATGGAGAGATCCAAAATTGACACCCTATCATCAAAATTGAAAGAGCTAGAGGAGCAAGATCAAAAAAACTCAAAACCCAGCAGAAGACAAGAAATAACTAAGATCAGAGCTGAACTGAAGGAGATTCAGCCACGAAAAACCTTTCAAAAAATCAATAAATCCAAGAGCTGGTTTTTTGACAAGATCAACAAAATAGACAGACCACTAGCCAGATTGATTAAAAATAAAAGAGAGAACAACCAAATAGATGCAATAAAAAATGATAAAGGGGAAATCACCAGATTCCACAGAAATTCAAACCATCATCAGAGAATATTACAAACAACCCTATGCACATAAACTAATAAACCTCGAAGAAATGGATAAATTCCTGGACTCCTGTGTCCTCCCAAGCCTAAACCAGGAGGAAGCTGAAACTATGAATAGACCAATAACAAGGTCAGAAGTCAAGGCAGCAATTAAGAGCCTACCACACAAAAAAAGCCCAGGTCCAGACGGGTTCACAGCCGAATTCTACCAGACACACAAAGAGGAGCTGGTACCATTCCTTCTAAAACTATTCCAAATAATCCAAAAAGAGGGAATCCTTCCCAAATCATTTTATGAGACCAACATCATTTTGATACGAAAACCCGGCAGAGACCCAACAAGAAAAGAAAACTTCAGGCCAATATCCATGATGAACATAGATGCAAAAATCTTCAATAAAATATTGGCAAGCCGATTGCAACAGCAAATCAAAAAAGTTATTCATCATGATCAAGTAGGATTCATCCCGGGACGCAAGGCTGGTTCAACATACGCAAGTCTATAAACGTAATTCACCAGATAAACAGAACCAAAAACAAAAACCACATGATTATCTCAATTGATGCAGAGAAGGCATTTGACAAAATTCAACAGCCCTTTATGCTAAAAACCCTCAATAAACTTGGTATCGATGGAACGTATCTCAAAGTAATAAAAGCTATTTATGACAAACCAACAGCCAATATCATACTGAATGGGCAAAAACTGGAAGCATTCCCTTTGAAATCTGGCACTAGACAAGGATGCCCTCTTTCACCACTCCTATTCAATATAATACTGGAAGTTCTAGCCAGAGCAATCAGGCAAGAAAAAGAAATAAAGGGTATTCAAATAGGAAAGGTGGAAGCCAAATTGTCTCTATTTGCAGACGACATGATAGTATACCTAGAAGACCCCATCGCCTCAGCCCAAAAACTCCTGAAACTGATAAGCAACTTCAGCAAAGTCTCAGGATATAAAATCAATGTGCAAAAATCACAAGCATTCCTCTACACCAATAATAGACTTAAAGAAAGCCAAATCAAGAACGAACTGCCATTCACAATTGCTACAAAAAGAATAAAATACCTTGGAATACAACTCGCAAGGGACATAAGGGACCTCTTCAAGGAAAACTACAAACCACTGCTCAACGAAATCAGAGAGGACACAAACA